CTGAAGACAGAGGGCACAGTTTTTCCCACTACGGACCGACCTAATGCTGGTGAATAACATTTTCATTTTTTTCTCACACATAACAAAATGATTTCCAAAAAAAACCCGGGTGATTTTGGGCTACAATTACGAGTTTAATTGCGGGAAAGTATTGTTTGTTTCTAACGACGAATAATCTTCAAGATTTACCTTTTTTCCGTTTTAAAATGTCACGGAGAGTCAAAGTTATCAAAACAGGCCTCAATCACATTTTGTTGAGACCATGCTGCACAATGGAAAACCAACGCCAGGACCACAGAAGCTGCATGTGAAGTTCATGAAGAAAGAATGAAATATGCCCAAATGCTCACCACAGACCTTTTGCAAGAGGCAAGAAAGAACTTTAGAAACTTAGAACAAGATTAGAGAAAACAGCACACACAGGCCACTTAGAGCAAATTATGTTTACCCTAAATCTTGGATAGAAAAGAAAGTAAACAACGACTCACCAGATATGATTCAGTCACCGTGAGAAGCCAATGGTAGCAAACTTGAACTTCAATGAAGGCTTCTGCCAAGGGAACCTCTGCACTGGAGGAACAAAATGATTGCCAAAAGAACACGGGTGATTTTGGGCTACAATTCCGAGTTTAATTGCGGGAAAGTATTATTTGTTTCTAACGACGAATAATCTTCGAAGATTTACCTCTTTTCCGTTTTAAAATGTCACGGAAAGTCAAATTGTAAGTGAATGCAGATGTGTATTTTGAAATTCAGTCTGCTCGTTTGTTTTCTGCAATAGTGTGTGTAAATCTGTCTTTCTTCCACCGAAAACTTGAGCTGAAGTCAATAAGAATCTTTCTAGGCCGCAGATACAAAGGGACTGATGCGACTTTATTTATCGAATTCCTTCGGTTTCTGTTCGGAAATTTAGGGTAGAAATGTCCAAATTCAAGGGATATGCAGAAAAACCAAAGCGATTCGAGAGAGAGAAAAGAAAGAATTAATGTTATTTATCGCCAAATGGTCGTCAACGAAGCCCTTACTTTATAATTTTTCCCAGCTGGCAAAATGAGATATATTTGTGACAAATTGCGATTAATGAAGCTTGAGATGTTCTGCAAAGTGACTCAAGCGAAACGGATAACGCCCGTTGTGAGCAGGCCGGATGGGAGAATACTGCCCGCTCTCGGTACCAATAAGATCGCAGAATTTATAGTATACCACCCGCTCACGAGCTGAGAAAAAATAATTTCAGATATTCAACCTTACAAATCCCTTGCAATTGTGATAACAATTTTTTGCTATAGCTAAATTCCACATTCTAAACATACCTCTTTGATAAGAATTCTGGTAAGATTTTTACTTTGTATTCTGTCTCCATGCTCTATCATGTGAAATCAGTTACATTCAACTAATTTCAATTGTGTCACCTTTTCATAACTTCAGTATTTGTAAAAGGAAAAAACATCCAATTGAAAAAGGACGCGTTGAAGCTCCAAACTCAACTTAAAAAGAGTAAAAAAAATCAGACGCCCACTGAAAAAAAAAAAAGGAAAAACAAGGCAGTAACAAGCTGAGGGGGACGGCAAGATCTGCTTTCTCAAAACTGAAACAGAGATTGCCGAGGAACAGTGAAATCGTCAAAAATAGGTATTTCCTTGTGGAGACATTTGCACACAGTCACAATGGACACAACCAAAGAACTTTGACGTTTATGGCTTATGTCAGATACAAGCAACATGCATCTTTGTTATCTTAACAAAAGACACCTGTAGCATTACATTTGATTTTTAATGTTTTGTTTGATTGTAGCCGCCCAACAAACTTCCTTGTCTCCCCAACTACGCTTCCTGAATGAAACGTTCCTTCTGTACATTGTAACATCCGGTTTCTTCTTACCAAATAAAGTCGAGAAGATTTGTCAAGTATCTTGGGGGCGTTTTTTTAATAAAACAATTATTCCACTCGTGCTTGTTGGATATGAGATGATTATAGCCAACTCGGCGCTACGCTCCTCGTTGGCTATCTATCACCTCATATCCAACGCGCGCTCGTGGAATAATTGTCAAATATATATATAGGTATACGATTTAAGTCCTTTTTAAAGCATTGTAAAGCGCTTAGCACTGAAAAGGATAGGCGTTATATAAATATTTTATTATATTATTATAAAGAATTATGCCCAAATGCTCACCACAGACCTTTTGCAAGAGAAAAGTGAAAAGTGAAAGAACTTTAACAAGATTAGAGAAAACAGCACACACAGGTTACTTACAGCAAAGGATGTTTACCCTAGATCTTGGATAGAAAAGAAAGTAAACAACGACTCACCAGATATGAATCAGTCACTAGAAGCCAATGGTAGCAAACTTGAACTTCATTGAAGGCTTCTGCCAAGGGAACATCTGCACTGGAGGAACAAAGGTCATTCAACTCAACAGTAATTGAGGGAGTTACCAGTACACCTGATGGACAAGTTCCACGACTTTAGCAGGGCTAAAGGTGTTGAACCATGGAGAGGACTGCTACCAATATATGATCTACCAAGAGAATACCAGTTGTGTGTACAAAACCTTCCAAATGTCTTCCAGCCTCCAACTGCTTGTCTTTCCAGGTGCCACATGACTGTACATGTTATGCCATTGCCTGCAGTCATGAAGAATATCGCAGTCACTGACCCACACTGCATGAAATAATTATATCTCAGCATGAATGAGTTTTTACACACAGAGACACATCTAATAATTAATAAATGTTTCAATGCAACATGTTAGAACTAACCTAGTATAAAGCATGTTGAATATGCCATTTTAGTTAAGTGAACATATATTAGTGTGTGTAGCATGCTAGCTTTGCAATATTGTAACTGGTTTTACAGGGTAAAAGTAAAGCACATGGTACCAAAGCTGAGACAGGCATGTAAAATCATGTTGTATTGGATCTTGAATTAAATGAATTGACCTTTACATTCAAATTGAACAGTAGGTAAATGAAGCTGTAACCTATCTGATTTTAAATTGTTATGCATGACTGTAGCTTAGTATAATGTTGAACATTGAAGTGCTGTCACTTCACTAGACTGAGAAGTTTAAGACTGTAATAGCTGATGTAATATTTATCTACATGTAGATTTTATCATTTTCATCATGATATGTAGTCAATGAAAAAACCTGCAATCCAATGCTCAAACAGAATATCACTTGTGTGAAGCTGAAGGTGCTTTTAAATCTTAGTTTTGGAAACACCCCACAATTTGTCGTTATTTTAAGATATAAAGGAACAGGTAGTTGGATGAATCACTGTATAAACTGTTACTATCAACAGATTGTGCCACAGCATTACTATCTTTTTGATACCCTAGTGACACCATTGCACATGTACAATGTAACATATTTATTAGCAGTATGTAACTTTTAATGTGGTAAGAGCATGACTTGTAGATTGGTGTTCTTGTACACAAGTGTATCATTTAATTTGTACAGTAAGGGCAATGCAAAGTGATGTAGCCAATGTTATGTTAAATATAGTTAGTGTACAATGTATAGCAAAGATATCAGTGATGTCACCTACTGTTATTAATATGCCAACAAGAGAACTATTGGCTACAGGTTTTGAACATTTAAATAACAAAGACAATGTTTGTAAATAAATATCTTCTCTATAACAGCAATAAATTAGATTTACAACATTGGATCTGTTCAAAATGTGCCAGGTTTATTATCCTGTCTTTCCTTATTCTGTGTGAAAGATAAGTAATATTACTCTGACTCGTGATGAATCCTCTCCCTGTTAAAGGTTTTTTTTTTTTTTACATCAATGAAATTTTTTTCTCACATACAGGAAACTTATGATAGCCACTATTTACCTGGACCTACACCAATTATTAAATATGCAGTGGTAAAAAAAAGAATCAGTCTATCGGTCAATACTCCACACTCAATGCGCCCAAAAGAAATAACCATTAATTTAACAACAACAACAACAACAACTTTATTTGTACCCAACATAAAAAAATACTGATAAAAATAACGATAAATTGACAAGAATATAAAGGAGTACTAGCTACCCCCAATAACCATAGGGGCTAGAAAAAAAAAGGGCAGCTATACTTAGATATAACACACACATCATCATCATCATCTCCATAACCCTAATTGTTACCAACGAGTACCCGAGAAGTGATTGATATACTGTTCTAGGTTCCTGTTGGCGAATAAACTCAAGTTCACTCTCAGTCTCGAATGGGCGATACTACCAGCACACCCCAAGGTAGAGTCAATTTATTATCTTACCTCGAGCATCGGGCGCTTGCTGTACTTTCGATTTATTTCCTTCCTTCATGGCATCTTGAGCGCGCGTCAAAAAAATTAAAATAACTTTCAAACGAACAATAATGGACTCCAAACAATTTGCCTTGAATTTTTACGGTGCCAACCACATAAAAAACACCACGCGTAATGAACGAAAAAACAGTACGAAAAAATAGCATTTCCACCACTAAGTCGACGAAATGAAAACAAATAAAACGGTAGAATCTTCGGCAAAATTTCCATATATTAAAAGATAAACTACCGAAAACTTTGTGTTTTTACAAGATATATTTAACGGTAAAGTTTTAAGAGGGGAGGAGAGATCTAGAAGTAATCACATGAAGGAGCCTCTTCGGCACATGCCTGACATTCCTTTGGTACGTCATCGACCAACTTACGGTCACGTTCTTAGCGTTAGGAGAACTCGGCGTTTGGAAACCTAAGGGGAGGGGGAGGTGGGGAAAGGTGCAAAAAATAGAATAGGGAAAAAAACACAATGTTCTCGTTTTCTTGCATTAATAAAATTTTGAATCACTATGAGTTAGCTTTATTTGTTGTTTTAGTGATATTTATCCCACGTTTTGTAAACGTTATATCGCTGAGAGCCTGACGAGAAACCTGCCCCCTGGCCCTGCTACCACCCCAGTGAGTAAAACACACACATGTTGTACAGATATTGTGGCTGTACAGATTTCCATTAAGAGGAACACAAGCTCTTTGATAGCAGAGCGCATCATGTATTTGCGCTTAGTTTGCGTTTTTCTTCTCAATTCACTCACCAGAGGTAAAGAAACCTTATTCATTTATTTGAACGATACATTATCTTGATTCAGTATGTATCACGTTATTTCTGATCCTCCATGAAGCCATAATTTCAGTTTATTGCTAGTTTTCTCGCATTATTTTCGATTGTAGGTTGGGAGAATACCCGGCCACTTTCGTCCACCTCATTTCCCTGTGTCGGAAGGCTTTAAAGAACGAAGCGTAACACAATAGAGGCTATCCTTATTCAATGACATGCGAATGAGTGGCCGGGTATTCTGCAATTTAGCCATAGGTTGGCCTATTATGCGGCGTGTTAGATAACGGCGAATTATGCGATTATTGTGGGTATAGTTTAGTTTATCTAGTGTAAGATTTTTTTACGCCATTAACTTAGTCTGGACAGCTGTACGATTTTTACGCCGTCAGCGTTAAATTTTACAGTATGTAATCTATTAAGAAACACCTCCTAAGTATATTAAAAAATTAGAAAATAATCTACGTTGTATCAAAGTAATCGTCTAGAGGGGAAACTTTGGAAGCACTATTCTCTGCTTTGATTTTCGAATCAGTTGGCCAAACATTTGGCTCCTCCACAAAATCAAAGATATTCCCTCGAAAATTGGCACAGAGTGAGATCATTAGTTGAAGCAAAAACTGCTTTTCGGAATAGTTTTTGAGATATGTCATGGAGAATTCAAAGGTTAGCAAAAAAATTTTCATACTTGAACTAACGATTATAAATTTTAAAAGGTGTCGATCAACGATCGTTCACAGGGTCTCTTCGCACAATATTTGCTTATTGACTTCCCAAAGACTGTTTTCCCAAACAATACTAAACGTGAGCTCATAGAAATCGGTTGAAGACACATGAATTGAGTAGTTTTTTTTTTTTTCTGCTCCCGAGGTTATCTTTTCTATATTTCAAAAATTAGAAAAAAAAAAGCAAAAAAAAAAAACAAAAAAAACAAAAACAAGTAAATTACCATATTCTTTAGTTTATAATTTTTAAAATGGATGTTCAGTTTTACAGGGATTACCTCCAAGCACTTGCTTTAATTATAGTAATTTTCTGTGACCCACCCTTGAGTGTATCTTGTATGGTAACCTGAAGTCCACAATTATCTCCAACCCAAAGGCTAAGGCGAGACTCTGAGAGAATTCAGTTTTCAAAGTTGGCAGAGTAGTCATAGGTGCCTGCCCAGTGCTGCAAGAATATACAATAAACTACTCTTTTGGCAAGGAAAGAGGCTAACAAAATCAAGTCTTATATGAATTAAAGTAAATCCCAAATTTTGTTAACATTATTACTCTACATTAAATCAAGCTTTCTTTATGCTTAGAGAGAGATTCTTTCTGCTTACAGGCCTAGGGCAGGCTTTAAATGAAGATGGCAGCATAACATTCCAAAATGAAACCGTTTGTACAACAACGGAACAAAATGTCTTGAAGATAGATTGCAAAATCTCACTTCCAAACAACACAGTTGCAGTAGATGGAGTTGAATTTTGGCTCTTTGGCCAAGATAGTAAAAAAGAAGTAACTGGTCGGCTAGCTAGGGGACTCTTAAATTCCTCTGGTTTGGAACAGTTTGCAGTGGACCCCCAAGTGGTGGGAAATTTCAGCCTACAGAAGGCAACCATCAGTTTGACTGTTAAATTGTCCAAACTTACTACTGGTCAGTTTCAGGCAAAGACTTCATTTGGCATACACCTTTCTGAGACAACTCTCACAAGTCATCCTGTTGTGATGAAAAAAGTGATTGTTGTTGTGTCTGCTCAAGAGAAATATCCTAATGCCACAGATAAAATAATACGCCATCGACATGACAAACTGTTTGTCATAAAATACTCCAATACATGCACAGGTTAGTTCCTTACTGAGTTGTTTAATTTTATTTGTTAAAAGAGATGGCCATTTATTTCAAATTTGTTTAAAAATTATTTCATGATGTGATTTAGAGCTTGAACATAACCTTTAGCTCTGACTATACTGTGTATCATTTACTAGCATGCTATTTGATGATTCATGGGCTTAATGGCTTTTTGACTGTTATTGAATTTCACTTGTAATAAAACAGTCAAAGCATTCATTTGAGTTAAGACAGCCATTAGCTAGGGTAAACTTTTCTTTTTTACTCATTCTTTGTTAGAATTATTAAACAGTGGAATACATTTCCTAAAGATATAGTGGATGAGCAGGATTTTTGAGTTTTTAAAAGCAATTCTTAAAAAACTTTGTAAAATTGAAGTGAATTCTTAAATGATTCTTAAATTTTAAATTGTATTATAATCTAATACTTACACAAGGGTATTAAGTGTTCTTGAAAGGGATAACTTGTGACTTTTCCTTTTACTGTATCTGAGTGTTTAGATATTAAACAAATCCCATGACTTAATTTGAAATCAGTGTATTTCATTTTATATATAGATAACAGACGTGAGTATAATTGTCTCTCAAATTTTAACTTTGGTTTTTTACATTTACATTTCTTTCAGCAGGACTAACACCAACACCAACACCAACACCAACGTCGACATCAACCTCGCGTATGTTGTACATAGGTCTTCAAACTGCAGCTTAAGCAGTCAATTAGTTAAAAATCCTGTTAAAGAAAACGAGAGGGACATGAATGAAATAACCATGCAAACAGTAGTGTAGAGCAGGCTGGACAGTCATTTTGTAACACCATACGACTATGCATGCAGAGGCTACTGTATTCTAAAATTGATTAAGTTTATAAATTTAACTCACATCTGTCAAATTTTGGGTTTTTGACTTGAGGGATGGTCAGTTTTTTGGATCATTGGGAATTAGCACTCTATAAATACTGTATATTATTATTATTTCATGTGAATTTGAAGAATTTGAATGCTGATGGCAAAAATGTTGATCATTGTATTTCATCTAGTAACAATTTTTTTTCCTATTTCTTTCTTACAGCTAGTATTTCTGAAGCAGTAAATGTAACTGTTAGCTGTCAACTAACCCACCCGCCAAGTAAACAGAAGGACATTGTGGCTAAAGGTTTGTCGCTGTCAATTCACTTACATAAGTGCTTAAAAAGAAATATACATGTAGTTCCCTGAGAGGAAATGAGCTTACTGTTAAAGGGGAACTGAAGCCTAAAATTGGTATATTGTTTGCATTCATTTCTAGTTAGCTTTAGAGGAGTAAGATAAAGTGTCAATATTCATTTTCGTTCAATTCTTGTTTTTTACGAGAAAATTCGAAGTTGCCCTTTTTCCTGCTTTTGGGGCTGTAAGACCGACGGCTCAAAATAAGTCAGCAGCGGTCATTTATGATGTCAGTGGTGGGGAACCAACTTAAGAAAAACAACTGTTACTGTTTCATTTTCGTAGTTAATCCCCATTACAAGTCACACAACTTTGATAACTCCATAACCAAACCAAATTTCTGTAGGCTGATAGTTTCGAAAGAAACTGTTTGGGGCTGCGTCGGTTGGGGTAACGAAATAATTTGGATATATCAACAAAGTTGAAATGGTAAATTGGTCACCGTAACGATTACAAAAGCTGACGTTTCGAGTGTTAGCCCTTCGTCGGAGCGATAACTTCTTCGCTCCGATGAAGGGCTAACGCTCGAAACGTCAGCTTTTGTAATCGCTACGGTGGCCAATTTACCATTTCAACTTTGTTGATATATCCAAATTTCTGTAGGAAGAGTATGGGTTTATTATCTTTCTTCCCCACCAGTGACGTAAGAGCAAGCTAAAATGACTGCTGACATCGCTTTTCTGAGCCGCCGTACTACGAGGCCAAAATACCACTTTAAACTATTTTTCTGAGACAAAGTTGGGCCCAAAGACTGAAAAAAACCTTTGAACATTGCTATTTGAACTATAAGCTGCAATTTAAAAATGGTTCATTTTTAGGCTTCAGTTCCCCTGTAATGAATAGTAAACCTAATAACATTGGTTTGTGGACATTTTATAGATAACTTCTTTGATGCCACATTGAAATTGCAAAATTGGCTCTTTTAAATGCTAACAATTTGTGTAAGTGTAGTGTGATCGTCTGGGTGGGTGTAGTCCTGAGAAGGACTGTTGTTAGTGGTAGTGACTGATGTTTTGACAACCTGTGTGGAAGTCATCATCAGTCACTTGACTCTGATGATGACTTCCACACAGGTTGTCAAAACATCAGTCACTACACCATCTACAGTCCTTCTCAGGACTACAATCACCTGGACAGTCACACTACACTTGCACATGTTAACCCCCTGTTCAAACCATTTACTGTATTGCCAACAATTTGTCACTTAATATGACATAGACCCTTCAAAAATAGTTTCTCAAAACCATTGTCTAATTGTTTACTAGAATCCTGGGACTATTTGACAAATCATCCAATTTTCCCCACATCATGCATTTGCTATCTGATGTGATTTGAGGCCTGATGAGCCATTACATTGCAAATTTGCCCCAAGAGGTATCAAACCAGGGACCCTTGATCAGCTTCTGAACCATCTCTGGCATGCATTTTATAGTGACTGGCACGGTTCATGAGGTCTTACTTGATGGGTCTTACTTTAACTTACCAACACATCCCCTGATATAGGTCTTTACTGGCTATATAAAGCCCTGCCCAAATAAGTGCCCCCCCTCCCTCCCCCACATTAAGCTTTAATTACAGTGAAATCAGTACAGGAGAATTTTTTTTTTTAATCCAGTTAATTTTTTCTCCATATACTTACAGAGTTCCTTTATGCATGTTCTGTGTTTTATTCATTTTTTTTCCATTCCTGTCCAAACATATCAAGCTCCCCTCTCAAGTGCCTTCTGTCCAAGTGCCTGAGCACTTACTTGAGGAAATACATAAACCTACTTGGGGAATGCATGTTTTTATGGTTGTTCATTAAATAAATGTTATAATTGTTGTTGAGAAAGTGATGAACTACTTGAAATTGATCCCACAGAAGTGTCGCCAACTTGTTATTGTTTCATGATATCCTTAGGAACTACACTTTTGGTAGTCTACATTGCTGGTCCTATTGTGGTTGTCATGATTGTGGTTCTGCTGTGGTATCTAAAAAGAAAAAAGGAAAGAAGCTATGCACTTGCTGTGGACATGAGATACAGTGGTCTGTTGCCCTCACTGGTACAAACATAACCCAACACGGTGACCTGATTGGTGCGACATACAAATATGTTATTCAGCAGCTGGGAGGTCCATACTGGGAAAAACTGTGCCCAAGGTCTTGAATACCCAAGACTGTCTTAGTACTCAATAGTGAGGGCACTGTTTTTCCCAATACAGACTGACCTAGGCTGGTGAATAACATTTTTTTTTTCGAAAACTTAAACAAAATTCTTGCCAAAAGAATCCAATGGATTAAGGGCTGTAATTATGGCAAGATCTTCTCTAAACTTTACAATTTGAAAATGGTGATTTAAAAGGTTTCCAAACAAGCTAAGTAAGTTAACAAAGGAGCAACTCTTAATTAACACAATCTAACATAAACTTGATGTGATCGAACCCAATACCGACTTGATCTGTAGAAACTATTTCCTGTGATAATCAATTCATCCCACACAAAGGATTTCAGGGATTTGCATCATAAATTTCCTTTATGTTGTCGCACTATCACGCCTAGTTTCAAAATCATAAGAATTTCCTCCCATCGGTCAATTCCTTATAAAAGAAGTTAGTTTAATTCAGTGGTTCAAAGTGTCAAGACCTGCTGCAAGCTCAGGACCTCTTGGTCACAAAAAGTAACTCCAGGGTAACCTCAAGTTAATGACCTATTTTACTGAGGATTTGGTATGTCACATTTGACCTTGTTATTATTGTCTTACAGATTAAGCTCGAGAATAATACAGTTCATACAGGGCTTGACACTAATGGTAGCCCACTAGCCACAGACTAGTAGAAATTCAGTTTTGGCTAGTGGTTTTTAATTTCCTCTAGCCAGTTTGGCTAGTAAAGACTGAAATTGTCGTAACATCTAAAAACATCTACGATGTCACTAGCCACTTGGCTAGTAAGCTGAAAAGTTAGTGTCGAGCCACATCATATGTACTTATCTCAATTCAATTGTCTAGTCTTTGCTAAAATCCTTAGTTGATTCATGTCCAAAATGTCTAGAGTGTATTCAGTTTTCAGAACATTGGATGTATCTGTACTTTTCGTTCACTAGACATGTTATGTGATACTGTATTTTAACATTGTATTTATCTGTACTTTTTGTGATCACTAGACATGTTATGCGATACTGTATTAGACCGAGTTCATTGGTGAAATTAGATATTTTACTGTAGTTTTCATTGTTTAGTTCATCAGTAATGACAGATGTTGTACCATCACAGAATGATATGTTGCCAGTTTTCCTTGTTTTTTGTCAAAGAAAAATATGAAATTTCCATTAAGATTAGTTTTATTTATTATTATGCTGTGTTGAGCTATTGTTTTATCATTATTAAACTTGTTTTCAGTTTTCATGTATAGTTCTAAGAATAACTCATCATTTAATAGTTATATGTTTGAATAGGAGGATTAGTATTTTCTTAGTGTCACACAATGATCACTGTTCTGTCATGCAATGCTTTGAAATTGTCTTGTTTGTTAAATTTAGTGCAATGCCATTGCATGACAATCTATTGTACTTTTACTAGTTGTTTTATTTTTATTATTTGAATTATTTTATTGTAAATTATGTTAGTGATTTGCTATTTGTCATTTATTTCTTTTAGCTTGTAAATATCACCCTTTTCTTTTTTTGTAATTTCCTGTATAAATAAATTTTATTGTGGCTATAAGTCTGTGCTGTTGTTCAAATAACAACACCAGAACCTGTCTCGGTCACATCACCTATTAACTCTCCTGGTCAAGAAAAATACTTATCCATAGAAATAAAAACCACCTTAAATGCATTGAATGTTTATACTGCCAGACTAGCCCTAAAATGATTGGGGGGCAGGGGTCTCAATCAACTGAAAAGTTACATTTTATAGTTACCAATTATTCACAAAGTGGAGGTTACAGAGCCACAAGGCAGCAAGGTAAATATCCACCAATTTCACTCATACTAAGGTAAAGGATTGTTTTAGTATAAACCACACAGATACCAGGTGATTTTATCTCACCACCTGCTTGGAAGTGAACAGTACTTGCCATTCACTTCTGAAATAACCAAACAACAGGCACGAAAAGCACTTTTCCCATGTGTTCTATATAATTATACCAAGATTACATATCTCATAGGTTCTGACACCTCTTATTCTACTTTACAGAATTGATGTAAGCATAGAGAAAATTAAAAAACCTTTAGGCACTCATACATGACATTTATAATGTGTGGGTTAAAATATCAGAAAGCCAACTTCTAACAAAGACGTCAATTAACATTTCTGAAACTAAAAAAAAAGTGCACAGTTTAGTACGTATACATGTTCATCATGACTTACCCCAATACAGAAGGTGATTGAGAAATGCTGTATTTCCTAGACATTAAAACTGCCTCAGCATAACATGACATAGGGCATTATTGGTGTAACGACAGCCGGGTAGACAAACAGTGACCGCAAATCTGCAATTATTTAATACTCTGGTGAACAGCAAATCTACAAGATGGCTGGCCGCCCGAAACTACGTCACGTGACCCCCAAGGGAGGAAACTAGACTACTTCATATAAGCATACTCGTTACAATTGGTACAGTAGCTGAAAGTCATTTGTCGCAGATGCACAATTTATTTGGAAATTGGTAACTATTGCTAGAACCCCAAGTAGGCTGGGCTGCGTGTCCATTACAAGCTAGCTAAAGGTTGCGATTCTTGGTCGAATAGCAGTGTTGTCTGCATTTCTTGGCAATAAACAGTGGTTCTTGTTTTGTTGGGACAAATAATTATACACATTTTAAACTCAGCAATCCATGAATTTTTCTTTAATGTCAGCATTACAGCCTCTTAATATGATGTCTGTCCTACAGTAACTGTTGTAGTTAACTTATAGAAGGAAGAACTAATACTTCTACAGATCATCTCAAGAGTCTTTCTGTGTACAACACTTACATGAAATCCTTCATTCTTTGTATTACACCTGTGTGCTGCACTCAGAGATGAACATTGTAAACTCACAGAGTTGAAACTTGCTGCGAACAAAATGTATGAATCAAAGCAGCTGTGAACTACTGAACTTGGATTTTGATTACTGGTAATGAAAGGCTGGGAATGGACTTTTTTAATCAATTCATAGCTCAGGGGGGGGGGGGATCCAATTCCAGGAATATTTTTTTGCAATGCTTCTTTTTAATACTTTTCTTATACAAGCACTTGTACACTCACTTTTATAAAAGGTTTATGAAATTTGTATTTCAACATCTTCTTGGTACTGTAATTGAAAATGGGAAGACTATTTTGTTTAGATAAACATGGTCCACAGGCTGAGATGCCAATGTTGTCTGCATATTGTCACCATTCAAGTTGTCTTATTTTACCATTTTCCACTGAAATTGATTATGTGTAGATGTTGAGTAGTGCACTGGCTAGTGGCCTGTAAAATCCCAGAGTATATAATATGTTTTTTTTTTTTCATTAAAGGGATATGTTTACATACTTGTATGTCACCTGGTGTTACTTTCAGGTCAATCACTGACAGGGCACTACTTCCATTGATCAGTATTGAATTGGTTTAACAGTGAGAACTTCAAACTAAAAATAATATGTTGTCAACCATGTAGAAACAATCTAAATGTATGAATAAGAAATGTTTCCTCAGAAATAAATCACTTTAAGGCTCAACCTTATTTGACTTGGGCGCATTCAACTGCCAATGCTTTATGCACTGGTCAGCGGATTTAGAAAAAGGTAAAAGGAATTGATGGAAGAACGGAGGGAAGGAGTGAATACTCCATCCATGTCTATATCTAGGATGATGACTATGTCATTATCTGAGTTAAGAGGGTGTATCACACTAGTGTGATGCACTGAAAGTTGAACATTGTAAACTAAATGATTTCAAGCTTGCTTGCAAGTCAATATCAAACCAAGGCATTTCACAGCTCTGTCAATGCACCAGGAAGTACCATCTACAGTTCAAAAATAGACAATACAAGTTGATTCAACAGCATTTAATCGGATCATCAACTCATTTGAATATTGTACAAGTGCGATGAAAACTAAAAGGGAAAAATTACAATGTACAAGATAAGAAAAAGCACTAAGACTAATTACAGAAGAAAAGGAATCAAAAGGAAAAGAAACGGAATACAATACACTGCAACTTTCATCTGATTCTGTTTTAAAGGCGTAGAGAAACTCCATCGCTGTATAACTTGAACAGACAAACTCTAGTAAAAATTCCATTATGACTCCTTTGATCTCTTAACTCCAACTCTGAAATACTAAGGGGCGCATTCTCTAAAAAGGGTATAACTGTAAACCAGTTCAAACAGAAACCACTAACTACGTAAGTGATTCAAACTGTGAAAAATATCATTAGAAAAACATGGGGGTAAACTTGATGATGAAACAAAACAGAACTCCAACAACTTTAAATTAGAATTAAGGTAATTACGTAATCAGAGTCCTTTTTTCAATGTTCATTCCACATTTCACAGCTCTGTAGTGCACTTGAAAATGAGCTCACTTATTGATGAATCTGTCGGGAATCGGTTTTCACCGACAAAGAAACTCACAATTCCTTGATTTTAACAGTTTTAATAGCCCAGCACTCAGCCTAGCTGTCACAATTCTTTTTTTTTTTTTTTCAACTCTCTCCCTCTCTACTTGTCTCATAATTTATATCAAAAGACTCAAGGTTCAAACGGGCGAATTTGACGTCTAGCTGTCAAACTTATGTAACGCAACTCGCAGTCACGACAAACCCATTACTATTTTGAAGAAATATTTGTATTGTAATGGAAGTATATAAACTGAATCAAGAATTTTCCAAAAGGAAAAAAAGTATTAACTCCACTGTTCCTGGAGACATTTTTGATTACACAGTTTGACCTGATTTTTCAGATGAAGTACAAATTTAGCAAAAACTAACGATAAAAACCGACGTTTCGGTGTCATCATGACGCCATTGTCAAGGAGAAATAAAAAATGAAGTTTGTGGCAAGGTGTAACACTAAATTAGCATAAATATGTTACGAGCTAATTAAACAAATACTTTTGCGCGAATTGAATCGCTTTGCACGTTCAGAGTGGGTTTTAAGTCTCTGATGAAAAGCATTTCGTTCACCAAACAATCGAACTTGTTACTACACTTTTTCAGAATGCTAAAACGTTTCAGTAGGTCTTTCGGGACTTCGCTGTGCCGTTCGTGGTAGTGTTTATATATTGAAGATGCCTTTCGTTTATGTCCATCCACGCGTCTCCTTGACAATGGCGTCATGATGACACCGAAACGTCGGTTTTTATCGTTAGTTTTTGCTAGTCTTTGCATTTCTAAATCTTTATTGATAAGTACAAATTTCCCTCTGAAAAGAAGCCTTTACACAAATTGATTCTTTCATACAACAAGTGAGAAACTATGCGCAATATCATTTTTTCATAGTTTTGTTTTATTAAGAGAATGTCAACCTGATTGTGATGTTTCAGAATTGTGCATATCAACCCCTGGTCTGATCAGGTCTGGAGCATTCATTAAAACCAAACACCATGGTTAAATTGGTGCAATATTAACATTGCTACCAAGTACAAACGCAAAGGTAAATTTACCGCTGCAGTTAAACAATAAACCCTTTGTTGACCTTTTTAGAGTAGAACTGAGATCTCACTGAGGGTCTCATAAGAAACATATCAGGACATCATGACATTTAACTTTAGATCAGTGGTCCAAAATTCAGTTTTCACCATCACTGCTGAGGCACACAGTGATACCCACTCTGCCATAACATCATTAGGTCAGCACCTCAATCACAAGAAATCCGCCTGGTTTACTCAAAATTTGCATCTATTAAACGTACGGGGTTGTCAGGGTAGTGAAAGTTTCGACAAGACACGATTCGGTAAACTTAAATTTTCAGCATACCTTCTCCACCACTAGAGAGTTAACTTCGTGACTTACTTGTGTCTGAACACTTGTGGAGGATTAAGCCTCTTCTTAAGGAGAGGCACAAATTTTCCAGTCGTGAGTGATCGTGAGTCGTTTTGCCAGTCACCAGCAGTCAGTTTTCCAAGTCCATATTGAGCCCTGCTAGTCAGCGGTAAAAACTCAATTGAAAAACTTCCCGCCAAAATAATCGCATGCGCAATTGCCTTCATTGATCCGAATTTCCAAGATGGCTGCTGCTATGGACGACAGGAATCGATCATTGAAACAGGCCCTCATAGATAGCCTGACAGCTATCTTGTCGCCAGACCAACAGTCTAGACAGATGGCAGAAGAACAACTCAAGGTTCTTGAGGTCACGGAAGGTAGGATTTGTGATTTACTATAAATCCACTGGGAACACTGTGCTCTCCAAAAGATCAAAATGAAATTAAAAATGTGCAGATAGATGTACATTTCACGAAATGGAAGCTTGCATGCGAGCTGGAAACTTTGAGCTCAGTTGGGTCAGCGATTGCCATAAAGAAATGATAAGCTTCGCGTACTGACCACTTTCAGCTCTCACATGGATTTCTTTTCATGCAAGCCATTAAAAAAAGCTATAAATTTGCAAGAAAGCTGACGTAAAAAATTATAGGTGCTCGCTAACTTTCTGAAATAAGCTCTGCAAGGTTTGCCTAGCCGCCATTTTTTGTGGGAATCAGTCTGAATTACTCAGTTTATGTAATTTTTCTATCAAATTCAAATTGACTTCCAGTATGCACAGTGAATTAGAACAGTGAGTGCATAAGTTTACCTTGTTGCAACTTTTGCATAGAATGCATCATATATGTAAATGAATTGTATTCTTCGTTCAAAAAAAGAAGTATTGAGTGGTTTGAAATGTTGTTCACATCCTTCCATCCTCTGCCAGTGGCAGCTTCTAAGGGGTTGGCAGCATTTTTTCAAGGATCTTGGATTACTGTTTTCAATTGCTTTCTTTTGAGCAGAATTCTCAATGTGTGATATGTTTGTTGTTGTTTATTTCGCAGAAACACATAGTGCTTAAAATTGAAAACTCAACTAAACTAGTAAGAGAGGTTTTCTGCAAACAGAAAACACGCTTAGAACAAACGAAATTACAAAATACACAACTGGAATGAAAAACTCACCGACTGTTCAAGCTTAGGGTTTCTATAAACAACGATAATCCACTTTATTACACGACTCAGGCAGTCAGAGGGCCAATAACTAAAATCAACCAATCAAAATGCTCTATTACCGGTCAATATTCTCTTAGTATTGGACTGGGCACTGTCCCGAATGGTCCTGAATGATACCGCACTTGTGTCCCTTTGAACTTCAGTCATATAATAAATCTCTTATTAACCAAGCTTGCTCAAGACCGTACTGGAAGAATATCAGCCCTCAGTCTTTTTTGTACGGACCCCGCTGTGCTCAATCCGTACTGTCAAGACCTCGGGCCGATATTCTCCCAGTACGGCCCTCGCGCTTGGTTATTAAGATATATGTAACAAATATTTCAACATGAATGCGACGATTTCCTTTCCAAAAGCACATGGGCGATTGCCCAGATGTTTTACATAAAACAGGCCCACAATGGGAGCTACATTTGTTCAATGGCAAACCTCAAAACCTATTCTTCTTTGCTTCATCCCCACATGTGGTGCATTTGACACTTTGTCCTTGCACTGTGCTCCTCACATACTCTCCTAGTAAGCTCAGGTTGTAGTGCATATGACTGTGCTGTGGAAGGGCCAGGGTTCAAAAATAGTTACTTTACCCACCAATCTGATTTTTTATCCTTTTCCAAAGAAGGGTCTGATAAGCCACTTCAAATTTACAGTAGCCACCAGCTTGAATGGTGCACAATGCACTTTGGGCTGATGACATATAATTGTTGCTTGGTGCACTCGCATAACAGTGTTTCACTCTCGTTGATGCCACCTTGCTGCCATTTTAAGAAAATTTTAGAGAATGTGTCACAGATCTTCACCAACTTCATGTAAAGCTTAACTTTGAAATTCTTTATGGAGGCCAAGTTACATTACCTTAAAAAGTGTTCACAGCTTATCATTGGTAGTCAGATGAGAGACACTTATTAGTCAAAGTTTTAACTTTACTTTCAGAATTTGGTGTCCACTTAGCAGAACTCACAGTTGACAGAGAGGGAGCTCTTGCTATCAGACAGGTCAGTGACAGAAATCTTGACAATAATATGAAACAACAGAGATATGTTGCAGTTTTGAATAAAATCCATGTAGTTTTTGGGATAATTATTTCTTTAAAGAATCATAAGGTCAGCTTGTAAGCCAGAAGGCTGATCTTGTTGATGAAAGCTTATCCCGGTTTTGTTGGCATGCAGCACCTTGGAATATTGCTACTGAGATTGTGTGACTGCATCAGGTTTCCTGGACAGCATTCTAGAGCCCATCTTTAATTCTTTATCAGGTCAAAGGCACTGCTAGGGTTACATGTACAGTAAAATGTTTGTGTTAAAAAAAAAATTAATAACCTTGCCTAAGCTTTCTTGGCTGGTCAGTTACAATGAATATGCAATACTTGATGTTATTATCCAACTACACTAAGACGAGTACAAATAACGCCATATATATATTCCCTTAGCTCCGGTTGGAGCATAGGCCATTAACCACTTCCGTCCTCCATCGGGTTCTGTCCTGGGCAAATCTTCCTAAAGTGGCCCAAGTGTGGCCCCAGTTTCTCATTTGGGACTCTACACCTCTTCTCCAGGAGTTCCTGGGACGACCCCTCTTTCTCTTGCCCTGAGGGTTCCAACGTAGTGCCTGCCGGGTGATGTTGTTAGCCGGTTTCCTTAGGATGTGACCTATCCATCTCCACTTTCTCTTTGAGATCTGAGTTATGATTGGTTCCTCGCCTGCTAATTCCCACAGCATCTCGTTCGTTACCCTGTCAGTCCAACTGATTTTTAAAATTCGCCTAAGGCACTTATTGACGAAGGTCTGCAATTTCTGGGACGTTTGGTTAGTTGTTCTCCACGTTTCAGAGCCATAGAGGAGGACTGCTTTGACATTGGTGTTAAAAATTCTAAATTTGGTTCTCCGTGAGATGACATGGGAGGACCACACTTTCCTCAGCATATTGAAAGCTACTCTGGCTTTGTTTATCCTGACCTTGATATCTTCATCGGAACCTCCGTCAATGCTGACTACACTGCCTAGGTAGACAAAAGATGTTACTTCCTCCAAGATGGTATCCCTCACTTTAACTGGTCTGTTGTTGGTGCAGTTGACCTTCATAACCTTGGTCTTACTCACATTCGGATGCAGGCCTAACTTGATGGAATTAGCTGTTAGCCGTGCTGTTTTGTCCTGCATTTGTTGGTTGTTACTTGACACCAGGGCGATATCATCAGCAAACTCTAGATCTTCAAGTTGCTCCAATAAGTTCCACTGGATCCCATTTCGCTGTTCTCTAGTTGTTTCCTTCATGATCCAGTCCATAGCAAGTAGAAACAAAAACGGTGCCATCAAACAACCCTGCTTGACCCCAGTGTTGACCGCGAAGCTATCTGACAATCCACTAGCATGAAGGACTCTGCAAGTCATCTTATCATAGGAATTTTTGATGATTCGAATGAATTTCCCTGGTATGCCATAGTGTCTCATAAGGCACCAAAGAACACTTCTATCGAGGCTATCAAAAGCCTTTTCAAAGTCGATGAAATTAACGTAAAGAGAAGTGTTCCATTCAATTGACTGCTCAATGATTATCCTAAGTGTGGCTATTTGGTCGATACAGGAATGGTCCTTCCTGAAGCCAGCCTGCTGATCTCTTAGTGTAGCATCCACAGCCCCCTGAAGACGAAGCAAGATAATTCTGTTCAGCACCTTGCCTGCCGTTGACATCAAGGATATACCTCTGTAATTCTTGCACTCCCGGCGGTCACCTTTCTTTGGCAGTTTTACAATGTAGCTCTCGTTCCAGTCCTGGGGCATCTCCTCCTCTTCCCATATCTTTCCAAGCAAGCCATAGAGGATATCTGCTGATAGGTCGGGGTCAGCTTTCAGGGACTCTGGAGGTATGTTATCTGGGCCAGCTGCTTTCCCTGACTTAAGCATCTTGATAGAGCGCACAATCTCTAATTTGGATGGCTTCCCGCAGTTCACATTCAGCTCAGCTGAAGCCTCCGGTATTATTGGAAGTTCTGGCGGGGGAGGACGATTGAGGAGATCATTGAAGTATTGTGCCCACCGCTTAAGCTGCTCATCTTCCCTAGTCAAGATATTACCTTCTTTGTCCTTTACTTGGCTGCTAGTCTGTTGAAATTTACCCGCCAACTTCCTGGTGGTATCATAGAGGTCCCTCATATTGCCATGTGCTGCAGCCTCTTCTGCCTTCGTCGCTAGGGTATCATAATATTCCCTTTTATCTTGTTTGATCTTACGCTTTACTTCACTGTTTGCTGCCTCATTGTCACTCTGTTACTTAGCAATGCAGTATGCTAATGTTTATCAAGCAAATAGCTCACTATAATGCGAGGATCGTGCATCATACGTATCTAATACCGCAGTTCAAAATATATGAACTTCATATATTCATTGTATCTCATTTATCACTTTCACGGGTTTATTACGAATCAACTTAACGGCCTGCTCCCAGTTGGCTTGTTAGCTCAATTGGTAGAGCGCTGCACTAGTATCGCAGAGGTCAGTGGTTCGAGTCCCGTACAGGCCTGATTTTTTTCAGGTCTGATTTTCGCTATTGCACAAATAGCGCTATCTACTGCGAGGATCGTGCATCATACGTATCTAATACCGCAGTTCAAAATATATGAACTTCATATATTCATTGTATCTCATTTATCACTTTCACGGGTTTATTACGAATCAACTTAACGGCCTGCTCCCAGTTGGCTTGTTAGCTCAATTGGTAGAGCGCTGCACTAGTATCGCAGAGGTCAGTGGTTCGAGTCCCGTACAGGCCTGATTTTTTTCAGGTCTGATTTTCGCTATTGCACAAATAGCGCTATCTACTGCGAGGATCGTGCATCATACGTATCTAATATCGCAGTTCAAAATATATGAACTTCATATATTCATTGTATCTCAATGAGTTCTGAGTCGTCTTTTTCAAATTCCATAAACCAGTATATGGCTATTTTTTTTAACCTGTTGACTCCTATTAAGGGAGAAGTTTAGACGTTTTATTGTTAGTATCACTGAGTATTTTTACAAGTTGTGCTGTATTTTAGCAAGCCTGTAGGGTGAGTCAAAATACAAACAAATTATGAGTAAAAATAATCAGTGATACTACACAACAAAACATCTAATAAGAGATTTATTATCCAACACGCCAAGTTGTTATTTCAGTGTGGGCAAATTTCATGAATATTTCTGGAGTACAAATATCGCATGATATTTGTACTCATCTCGCACATTATTTGTATTCTATGAAGCTCAGTTGGATAATAAAAGGAAATAATCACAAAATGACATGTAAACCATAAAAACCAAATTATGCAGATTCCAAAACGGAATGTGTGGCATGTCACTTATAAAGTTCTCTGCATGGAGTACCTGGTATTTATACAACAGGAAGTGCTATACTGAGGAATAGTAATAGTGTTATAGTCCTCTCTTCTTGTTCAGTGGAGAAGAGGCAACCATCAGGTGCACAGAGTCTGATTTAGTGAATGGTCTTTTACATTTGTATTTCAAGTAATTTATAGCAATATTGAATATTTAACAACTATTCGCCAAAGTGGAGGTGGTTAGTGGTGGATATTTACCGAGCCGCGAAGCAGCAAGGTAAATATCCACGGCTAACCACCGACACTGAGGTGAATAGTTGTTTTAGTATATACTAAAACAGTGATATAATATACACCACCTTCATTAATTTGAGGGAATTCTTCGCTTGTCACGGATGCAAACCGGGACGCCATTTTTTCCCGAGTTGCTCGGAGGTAAATAGCAAAGGATATTCGGAGTTTGACTAGCCAATCAGAGCGTGTGTTCAACGCTATCCACTGTTTTAGTATACACTAATTTCACATATTGCCATTCATCAAAGGTTACAGATTTATTCTCTTTTGGTTGTCTTTTAGGCTAAGGCAGAGATTCGTCGTCTTTTACCAGGAGGTCTACAGGAATCAATCAGTAAAGTCAGGTCAAGTGTGGTAAGCTTTTTTAATGTTCAAAAGTTAACTTATGGTGAGAAGTTATTCTTGGCGTCACTCGTGATCAACTGAGTGTGTAAGTTATCCTCATGGTCAGGGGAAAAAGCCTAAGTTTAGAAGCAGTTACTGGCGTGACTATATTTACCAGACATTGCCATGAGTTACCACTCGCATTGAGTTACCAGTTTCCTGAAGAGAGGAAATGACATCAAGACTTACAAAATTAATGTAAATTTGCAATGACTGCACTCTCAATTTGCTTTCGAAAGTTAGAAAATCTCATGATCCATTTGAAAAAGTTAGGTTCATAGTCTTATTATTGAATTTTTTCATCTGTAAGTCTTTCTCAACACTAGTGATTTCTCCTTATTTCTTCTATTTATTTTCAGGCATATGCAATCTCAGCCATAGCATATTGGGACTGGCCAGAAGCTTGGCCACATTTGTTTGGGAATCTGATGGAGGCATTGACAAGTGGTGATGGTAATTTGGTTCATGGAGCTATGAGAGTTTTAACTGGTATGAAAAACTGTACTTTAATAAAGTTCGTTCAGGGTGAAGGAACAGCTGTATGTACTGGAAAAAGGAAGCCATGTAATCCTCCCCAGGGCTGTGGTCTAGCAGCGCCCGGTGGCCCCTGCCGCCCTTCTTTTGCTCATAGGCAACTCAGGAATCTTAGTTTTTTTCATGAAAAGCATATGCTGGGCACCCTGGATTTCACAATTTCAGAGCACTGGGCTGACCCTTCGATTTTTCTTAGAACACAGCCTTGCTCCCAACTTGTTCAAAACTGTTTCACTCCCAGGATTGTAATATCAATTTTCCACACTGTATGCCATACATTTCTCATAATAATTTTAGATCAGAAAATTTGGCTTTTAATCTCAATAATGTGCACTTTTAAGTATGAGACTGTAAAATGAAAGTTAAGAAAATTAAAAGTGTACCATTTAAAAAAAGAGAGAAATGCATATTTTTGCATTTTTGCCTGTAAAATTGTTATGTGCCAGTATTATTTTGGAGTGCCCATTTTAAGTATATTTGTCTAGCCTATTGAGTGTTTTTTGTAAGTCTCACTTATTTCTGAGCAGCAGCTTGCGTGTAAAATGTTTGCAAATCTATCCACAGAGTTCTGTTGTGAGGTGACGGACACACAGATGCCGCATGTTGCACCTGTGATCCTTCCTGAAATGTACAAGATATTCATTCATGCAGAGGTATGTAGGTGGAAATTGTGCACTGTCTGTTTGAATACAGCTGAAAATTGAAATTGTGTTTTGGTCTGTATAGAGTATTCATGGGTCAAGTGATCGCTGTTATTCCTCTGATTTAACTGTATTTTATTCAATAATCAAGATAATATATTTACCATACATTACTTGTAATCAGTTTCATTACTTTCACTTAGTAGAGTAGATTTACAGCACGCTTGAGTGATAGGAGGTTCCTTACAGTGGTAATGCTATGCGAGGCTATATAATGCAATACACTACAGTCTGAGCAGCTGTATCACCCTTTCAGCATAGTATAATGTGGTCATTTTTGTTTCAAATTCTTTTTGTAGACATACAGTATCAGAACAAGATCCCGTGCTGTGGATATCTTTAATACTTGTGCTTCACTAATCTGTACAATGGAAGAAGATGCTACAGTGAGAACATTTATCCCTTTGGGTCCAAAATTATTGTTCTTTTTCTGCCCTCTTTTGGGATTTTGAATGGAAGGAGGGTTACCAGAATTTCACAACTTTTTAATTTTGAATTGATTAAAAAAAAAATTTTTTTCTGAGTAAAATTTAACCTTTAATCCTGGTCAGACACTTCCTCTCCCAAACCAGACGAGTCTATAACAAAGACACAAGTGTGCTGATGTAGGACCATTTCATCTTTGTTTTCTCATTATTTTTTGCTGAGATATACAAGGGGAGGAATAGAATTGCAGAAAAAGAATTTGCTCACATGGCTATAATTAAATTTTTGGGGGTAACTTCTGAGCAGTGGCACCAGGTAATTTGGAGATCTTGGACTCATCCAGGTTGTTCATGAACCCAAAGTTATTATGTGGGAGTGGGTGGTGAGGCAGTTTTGGGGAAATCCTTTTGGGATAGGGGTGGGGGTGACAGATATTTTGTTTCTGTTGTCGCCAGAGGAGGTTGAAATTTTTTTTTCAATTTGACACAAATTATAGATTTACCAGAGTGTGTTAAGCATTTTATATGCCCTTACATTTTGTGCCTCTGGTAATGCTCTGTTATTTATTGCGATGTGGAAGCAGTCAGACCAACGATTTTGCATGCAAGCAGTGGTGTTGCAATTTTGTTTCTCATTAATTTTACAGGTTCAACAACATTTTTAACAAAGTTCTCATTACAGGGTATTGCCAAGGATGTCTTATTTCCTCTGCTTCCACAATTCACCCAAGCATTTGTGGAGGTTCTTGCAATGTCAGATAGTCCCACAGTTGACTGTGGTTTGAAGATGGAAGTGCTAAAAGTTAGTTTTTAACTGGTCTGTTTTGATATAAATTATAGTTGCCAACTTTCTTCTGCATATCCTTGCTTCCTTGTGTAAGTACACAACCCATACTGCCCAATTGGCTGTGAGTGGGTGTAAGAGTATAGGCCCATGATGCATGCATGAATTTGAAATTTTTTGTTAATAAATTATTATATCACCGTCTAATGCTATGCATATGTGGTGCAATGGATAAACCTCCTCACAAGCCATGAAGGTCAAATGTTTGAGTCTTGGCAGCATCAATTTTCTTTTATCTTTTTTACTTTCTCTTTAACTGTTTAAATTTACCCTCTTTTTCAAAAGCATATGTCTTTCTCATTCCACCCAAAAAGTCACCATCTATTGTGCAGTAATTGGCATTCAAGAAGTCAATTACTTGAGTGCAGCTTTTTTATTTCCTTTTCCTTCTCAGAAAATGACATGCTTCAATCCCAAACATGCCGATTCCAGGAAGTGCATAAAAGTTGCCTAATTCCCTTCGCCTCTCTTTTTGTCGATCACGAACAAACTCGACATATTAGCTCTGGTTCATCCAGTATACTTAATTATGTACTCATGTTCAGTTTGAATCGTGTTGTATTTATTATAAAAAAAAAAAAAAAACTTCATTTGATTTATCCCATTTAGGCACTAACCACATTAGTTAAGAGCTACACCAAACAAATGGCACCACACTTGATGCAGATTCTTCCCCACATGTGGAATACATTGACCCACAGTGCTGATCGATATGTCCGCACAGTTGTAAATTACACTGATGATGCAGATGACCCTGTGGATTCTGATGGTGAGTTAATTCTTCCATTGATTTAACAACAATAACTGCGCTGAAAGGATCAGTTTGTGGAACACTACATCTTCTTACTATCACCAATCTTTCTTTTCTCCATTTCAGGAGAAGTATTGGGATTTGAGAATCTTGTTTTCAGTGTTTTTGAGTTTATCCATGGACTTATAGAAACACCAAAATTCAAGAAAACCGTGAAGAAGTTTTTAGATGAACTTATTTATTTCTTGGTGTTGTACATGCAAATCACAGAAGAACAGGTGGGTTCTGTTTTTCGTTTTTTTTTTTTTTTTTCATCCTTTTATCCCCAATTTATGGAGCACTTACATACCCAACAACGCGTGGCTTAGAAATATTTGTCACATAAACCAAACCATACTTTTTTTTTCGAGTTTATTTTCCTCTTTTCATACAGGTCCAAGTGTGGACATCCAATCCAAATCAATTTGTTGAAGACGAAGATGACGATACCTTTTCGTTTTCTGTTCGCATTGCGGCTCAAGATGTTCTCTTGGTAAGTGAATTGAACAGGTTTGATATCCAATTCACATCTTTTGTATAGGTATAAACACTGTTTTCGTATGGGGCTCGAATAATCTTGTCCGCAACGTATAGTCATGGTATAGTTGTATAGTTTAGTAGCAGAGAACCGTTCCAAAGGATCTTGAGATTAGTGTAGTCTTCAGAACCGTTCCGAAGGATCTCGATATGGAGTTTAAGTTTTGGTGTTTCGTCCGACCGACACACATTTACGTCTTTAAAGTGCGTAATTTAGATGCAGCCACTACTTACATGTATGTTAGAATGCGCCTTAAGTGCTTCTATAAACGTGCCATGGGGCCCGTTTCTCGAAAGTCCAGGTAACTTAACGGGCCTGACGCCATTTTTTTTTTTAAATCAAAATTTGAACGATAGAAAAAGCAGGTTCTGGCATCCTGACCAGTCCATTTTGTTTCTTTAGCTGCTAGTTTTATTGTATAATTCTCAAAACTGTTGAAAACCCATCTTGAATAAAAACAGAACTGTTTCACAGGCCCGTTGAATCAACGGGACCGTCAAGGGTAACTATCACTAAGAATTATAAGTTCCAGGCCCCTTGCAGTCCTCAAACTTTCCCTCGTTGAATGGTGTCGAGGACTTGAACAAATTTTTGCGTAATTTTCACTTGTTATTTTGTAGGCGGTTGCCGCTGACTTTAAAAATGATAGTGCAGTCGCATTAACAAAAGCACTCAACAGGCATTTACAGGAATCAAATGAAAGAAAAAGTAAAGGAGATGTTAACTGGTAAGTGATGAAGTGGAGCCATTGAATTTTGTATTTTCTTCACTTGCTTGCCTTTTATGGTGGTTCTGGCTAAAAGACAGTTATGGTCTAGTTTTAGTGGAGGTAAAGAGCGCACAAGCGGAGCCACTATACTTAACAATTATTCCACGAGCGCGCGTTGGATATGAGATGATAGATAGCCAACGAGGCGCGTAGCGCCGAGTTGGCTATAATCATCTCATATCCAACAAGCGCGAGTGGAATAATTGTTTTATTAAAAACGTTGAATGAAATTATTAAAGTTTATTAAATTTTTAGCTCCCTTTTAGTTTTAAGCTGACACGTACGCTTACCATATTTGTAGATTATGGTATATTGGCTGATATAGATTATTAAAAACTAGATCATTGGATAATGCAATTCAAGACTTTTTATTGGCTTAGCCATTATGGTATATCAGCCAATATACCATGATCTACAAATATGGCAAGCGTACGTGTCAGCTTAAAATTAAAAGAGAGCTAAAAATTTAAAATTTAATAATTTGATTTAACGTTTTTAATAAAACAATTATTCCACTCGCGCTTGTTGGATATGAGATGATTATAGCCAACTCGGCGCTACGCGCCTCGTTGGCAATCTATCATCTCATATCCAACGCGCGCTCGTGGAATAATTGTTAAATATATGATAACATATCAAGGTACAGTAAGGTGCTGTATAGACTATATCTCCTGAGATGTGTCCCTATAGAGACTGCGCTTTTGGATTTTGCTTCAATATATGTATTGCTGCTCTTCATTATCCATGTATTTTTACGAAGTCTGTCTTCTATATTTCAGGTGGAAAATTCACGAATCGTGCATGTTGGCAATGGGTTGTATTAAATCACTGATTATTGACAAAGTCTCCAATGGGAAAGTTTCTATAGATATGGCGTCATTCCTCACCCAGGTTGTGTTAACAGACCTCCAGGAATCAGGTTAATGCTCGATTTACCTTGAGAAGCGAGACAGTTGCAGTAAAAGTTAACTTGTGCGATTCGGATAGTTAATAGCAATTAATATGATCGTAAGTTAGACTGTGGTTTGTCTTTGTGGTAAATGTCACTTTCAAAAGAGAAGTCAGTAGAATCGTTCGTCTCGTGATGTGGTCACTGCGGATGTAGATCGCGACGTTTCGAATGCATACGGCTAGTCTTCTTTAGGCGGTTATACTTCTTTTTTTTTTTTTTTAAGTAAATAGCAATTATTTGTTGTGCTTTGCACACTATCAAACTAGCTAAGAACCTGGACAAAGGCCGTGGCAACCAAAATTGGGTTGTGAAATTTGCAACATTAACAACTGCTATGTCTTTAAAATGTGCTACACTCCTACTCTCGCATATTCAAAGTATTATCAAGGTGTTTAGTCGTACATTGTAGTGAAGACCACAATGCAACGTCAACCAACTTTGTTTCTAAGGTGGAAAGGGGCAAAGAAACAAAAATCTTTTCGGCGTGGAAAATGTTGCACTAGAAATCAAGTAGGATGTCTCAGAGAAAATGATAATATAAAACCAATTCCGGCATTCCCGAATCACTTTCGATGAGGAATACACGGGAAAGCACCTTTTGGTTCTTCTGTTTTTGAGGTCCTGAAACTCTCCTGTCAGTCTGCTTATCTCACGAGTTTCGAGAAGGCGCCAAAAATTCCCAGCAGCCAACGCCAGGCTAAGACAGAGTGAAGAGGTCCATCAATAAGTTAAGCTCAATCAAAAATTCGAAAGATATTCTTCAATTTAAAGATGCAGTTGTTTTTGAAGAAAATTTTTAATGGGAGTGTTTTCTTCGTGTTATCGCTTAGTATCTCCTTTCCTCATTGGTCAAGCCTTATGGGTGGCAAGTCGCTTTACTCCGCTAATGTCTCAAGAGCTTTTAATAAGGTAAGATGACTAAAGCAGAGCAAATTTCTCCATAGAATTGACGGGGGTTTTTTTGGCAAAATTTTCTTTAGTTCAGGGACTTTAAGTTTCAAACTTTCTTTAGTAATACGTTGGAACACGAACAGCCCATATACTCATGAGCTAGTTTGATAATAATATTGCTAAAAACAATTTTCTTAGAGAATTATCGGCTTGTTGCTACATGTACCTGGACAATGTATTGTGTGCGAGGTTCCCCCTCTTTTATGTTACAAATGTATATCTTTGAGCACTGAATCTGCTGACTTTCCTCTTCATGTTTAGTTTCATCGAAGCATCTGTCGCGGGTCTTCAGTCAACACAGTTGCCTGCGGTCAGAATATCAGCTGTGAGAGCTATTTATGAGTAAGTGAAACGATTTTTTTCTTTTTGACTCATCACTCTTTCATATAAACTAAGGGCCTAATTACATGAGCCGAACTGGCCTGGTTAGCCGGGCTGATTTCTTTTGTTTTCACGCTTTGGCGAACACCAAAACAAAAGAAATCAGCCCGGCTAACAGGGCCAGCCCAGCTCATGTAATCAGGCCCTAAGAAATAGTTTGAAAGCGTTGACAAATACCACTAGCTACGTATGATGCACGATCCTCGCAGTAGATAGCGCTATTTAAGCAATAGCGAAAATCAGACCTGAAAAAAATCAGGCCTGTACGGGATTCGAACCACTGACCTCTGCGATACTAGCACAGCGCTCTACCCATTGAGCTAACAAGCCAACTGGGAGCAGGCCGTTAAGTTGATTCGTAATAAACCCGTGAAAGTGATAAATCAGATACAATGAAATATATGCTCCCAGTTGGCTTGTTAGCTCAATGGGTAGAGCGCTGCACTAGTATCGCAGAGGTCAGTGGTTCGAATCCCGTACAGGCCTGATTTTTTTCAGGTCTGATTATCGCTATTGCTTAAATAGCGCTATCTACTGCGAGGATCGTGCATCATACGTATCTAATACCGCAGTTCAAAATATATGAACTTCATATATTTCATTGTATCTGAAATACCACTAGCGTAAGAAAAGCTAGGAGGCTTGAGGATACCAGCCGCCGAAAACGGGACTTCAGAAAGGCCGCATAAACCAACTCACGGAATTCTTAACCGGGATGAATTTTGTCTCACACTTAAGGGCCAAAATGTAGATTGACCTTTTCAACTTTGCATCAACCTAGCTTTAAAAGAAGTGCCAATAGTATCCTAACCATTGTGACGCTTTTGTTTTTCAACCCTTAACTCCCAAGATCTGATTGTTAATTCTCCTCTCTGGCTGCTACGCATTTCCTTTTGAATTAGTCAGGAGAAGTTGGTGTTAGATCAAGATAAAAACTTCCGCCTGATAAGTTTGAGTATTCTCATTACCTGTGTGCTGGATAAAGTATGGATATTAGAGGGAGAACGTGCTCGTTAATCACCTCTTAGGGTTAAAAGGGTTAAGCTTTGACGTCATGTGTCATCAAGTAATCCTGTAGCCCAGTATGTTATGGACTAGATTTTTTTGTTAATATTTGCAGATTCTGCGCCCATCTTAAGATGTCAAATAATACTCAGATTCTTACACCGTACCTGGTCAAGATCATGGAAGGTTTATTGACCATGGCGACTCAAACAACAGATGATGTGCTGGCTCTTGTTCTCGAGTCTCTTAGAATAGTTATGTCGGTAAGATGAGGTCTCGGGTTTGTTTTTTCAGAGCGATGTTCAGTTGAGTGTCAAAAGTAATCGGGAATCGTATTGTTCATGCTTCGGTGCGGTTTTTGATTGGTTATTAAAATTTGCGGCACCCTCTCGACCAATCAAATGTAAATCTAAAGCAGAACGTGTCTTGGTCACTCGCCTTTTCCCGCGTTTTACCTGGAGTCCTCATTGGCGGCGCCATGTGCAACCTCGTTCCTTGGGTCTCTCATCTTCCCGCTCCTTGAAGCGAGAGAGAGTCCCTGGAAACGAGGTTGCGCCATGTGATTTTTTTCTCCTATTCTGATCGGTCGTCAAAAATCGATGGTAAGCATCTATCCATACTGATGAATACTGCCTGTTTTCAGGTCAACAAGGAATTTACAACGTCTTGTGAAGGAAAAATAACACCGCTTACGATAGCGCTCTTCATTAAGTATGCTCACGGTAAGTGTGATTGATAAAGGTAGAGTTGAAAGCAAAAAAAACAAAACAATTTCTCACTTGGTGAGTTATCTCAGTACTCAAAGATGTTGGAATTAGCATGATATTTTGCAGTAACTTATCATCAATTTGTGCTTGTTTCTCAAGAATATAGTGTTATTGTAGTCACGTCGTAGTTTAAAGGCTGATAGTTTCGAAAGAAACTGTTTGGGGCTGCGTCGGTGGGAGTAACGAAATAACTTGGATATATCAACAAAGTTGAAGTGGTAAATTGGCCACCGTAACGATTACAAAAGCTGACGTTTCGAGCGTTAGCCCTTCGTCGGAGCGAATAGAGGAATTGTGGGTTGTGTGTGCTTTTAAAGGCAGAGAATGGAGCTACGTTATTGGTGGGAACATGGCAACGAGAAAAACAAGAATAAATTAGTGGAATGAAAAGCGTTCGTTGATCCCTGTGGGATTTAGACTGCCGGTTTGAATTTTAATTTACCTAATCATTCTAAGCAACATATGGCAATCTGCGGTCTTTCCTTACACTTAGGTAGCACGGAAAGCCGTAAAAATCTTGAACAAAAGCTCATCTTTCAAACCGGCAGTCTAAATCCCACAGGGATCAACGAACGCTTTTCATTCCACTAATTTATTCTTGTTTTTCTCGTTGCCATGTTCCCACCAATAACGTAGCTCCATTCTCTGCCTTTAAAAGCACACACAACCCACAATTCCTCTATTCGCTCCGACGAAGGGCTAACGCTCGAAACGTCAGCTTTTGTAATCGTTACGGTGGCCAATTTACCACTTCAACTTTGTTGATATATCCAAGTTATTACGTTGTAGTTTAGTCGTACAAACAGAGAGGCACGGCAAACTGTTCTAATTTTCGAAAGGAATACTCTCCTCCGGTTTCTTCCAGAATTAAGACTGTTTAATATTTACATGGCTAAACGGGCGTAACACTGTTTGTAAACCCCGAGACTAAAACCTTTTTTCTTCCGTACTGTACGTTGAGAGTCCCTCGAATACCTCGCCACATCGATGTTGACTGTTTTTTCTCTTCAGATGCGGCTCTTATTCCGTTAATAGAAGACTTATTCAAGGAACTTGCCATGATAGAGGCCTGTAACAAGGTAATTTTTCTACTCCGATAAACGCTTCAAATTAAACGGTCAGGTACCAAGCGTGGGAAAAAAACCCACAGGGATTATTAGGGAGTGTGACCAAAGTGGGTGAAACATAAGTGGGTGGGACCTCTAAAAAGGAGACTTAGCCCGGAAACACTCAAATCTAGACGGAACCCTTCGGTAGCTGACAGGAAATCGGGCAAAGCCGTCGGAAATACGGCAATGGATCTGACCGAAATTATACAGAACTGTGCAAAGATAACTTCGTTCGATATCAGGTGGAATCGTCCAAAATCAGACGTAACCTTCGGATTTTCGACGGTTCCGTCCAACAACGAACAGAAATGTGTGAAATCAGAAGTAACGTTTCGAAATAAGACAGAACCGTCCAAAATTCGACGAAACCTTCCGAAATCAGACGAAACCGTCCGAAATCAGACGAAACGGTCCGAAATCAGACGGAACCGTTCGAAATTAGAAGTAACTGTTCAAAATTGAACGTCACTGCCCGAAATCAGTTGAAACCGTCTTACATCAGACAGACCTATCCGGCAATGAGCAAAATCGTCCTAAATAAGACCGAACATGAGTCTTGCTTAATTAAGTTCTGGTAGCATTTCTTTAAAACTTTACTGCATTAGTGCTCTGTTCATTCCTGACAAATTTCTGTCTCTCTTTCTTTTCTAGCTTTTACAGCAGAGGTTTCTACCGACATTAATAAGTATTTTTCAGGCTCCCCCAGAGAAGGCACCTTTGGGAATAAATGCAGTAAGTTAAAAACACGGTAACATTTTAGATTAAGAACAACGGCTCTAACTTGCAGAGTTCAGATATTATTTTGTTATGTGTCTACAGTTTTTCTCTTTCTCGTTTCTTTTTTTCTTCCTACACCCTTGAATTCCTTTAATTGTTTTCCCCTCCTTACAGGAAAAATGACAACATGACGAGAAATAAGTTTTACCCTTTTGAACATGCACAAAAATCGACAAACTCTTTAACACCCTAAGCCGTGACCAGCATATTATTTCTCCCTACGGTAGCACTGCTCAATCATTCACCACGATTATGAGAATGAAGAAAGTGATCGCCGACTTAGAAGCCTTGATTGTTAAACAAATTCTCCATGTCAGCACCTTAGGAAATCTATAGAGAACAGTAGGGAGAATATGCACACTAATGTTAGGGTGAAAAGGGTCAAGATCCAGAAATAAGAATCAAGGAAGCCTTTGATCGTACTTTGCACTTACCATTCATGGAACCCAACTCTAATGTTAGTTTAACGTATTTCTTTAACCTGTGGAATGTCCACTCATCACTCGATCTCACCCGTCCGTACTTACCTCTTCGCAGGTCTGTATGGATATCCTGTGTAACATCATTCGGTGCACACAGCCTCCCCTCTCCGATCTTCTGTTGAACTCAGTGTTTCCTGTAGTTGTCAAAACAATACTCGCATCTGATGACAACGCAGTATTGCAGGTAATTTAGATATCAATTTTATTGCTCAAAAGACGTTGGTATGTTCACACACGGTTCGTACTTCGTTAAGGAATACATCCTCGGCTATTTGCAATCCGTTTAAATCTTCTGCATCCGGAACCATTTCAGTTTCTTTTTCAGTTTCTTCTTGCCTCTCTGGCGTTTTTCTATCCTGGCAAATAAACATTCAAGGTTTTCTTTTTTCAATTAACCTTAATTTTCAGAGTCTCAAAAAACAGCTCAGAACATCATTATGTGAAGTAGCTTCTTTAGCGATGACTCATCAAGAATGAATAATGAATAATTTTTTTTTCGCAAATTGCGCTACGAAATGAATAGCCCCTCTCCATTATGACAAGCTTGTTTCAAGAAGACTAGAGGAGTTGGGGAAGATATTTTGAATAGCTGTAGATTGTCCTTATGTTGGCTTTGCCAATGAAGATTTTGAAACGAAGGCATATGTATGTTGCTCTCGGGCATAGTCTGTTTGTCAGAGGCAAAAAAAGATCAGCATACATGTATTTGCACTGTGAACTCCAAGTTGAGACAAACAGGTTTGGATGGGAGCCCGTTGTGACAGAAAGCCATGAAGATGATCTTTTATAAATACAGTAATATTTTATCAAGGGACGGTACTATTTAAAAAAGCTGAAGTCTCTTTGGTTTGAACCGTTTTAGCCCGAGTGCTGACTAAGAGAATGAATATCTTCGTTTTTATTCCAGGGAGGCGGACAGTGTCTTCGTGCGTTTGTCTACGTATCTCCTGAGCAGATGAGCGCTTGGTGAGTGACCTTGTCCCACTCATTTTCCTTAAAATTACAGTCCTTACAGTGATAAACTCAACTGTAGTGAGGTTCTTTTTTACAGACATTCTTGTGAGTACAGACCGATTACGATCGCCTCGACAAAGCCCTCTAGTTTAGAGCCACTTTGATTGAGTGAATAATGTAAAACGAAACTCGATATGATCATCGCGGGCAATCAGAATGAAAGACATTTCTCCATAAATCTGATGTACTTACACTGTACCCGCTTACTTATTGCGTACACTACCATTTCTTCCAACAAAATTTTGAACTGCGCGTTTCTCGAGGAGGGTTTCTTTCTAATTTTTATTGGTTTTCAGGCGGGATTCTCAAGGAAATAGCGCCATTTCCTACGTTGTTCGAGCAACTTCCCACTTACTCGACCCCAGGGCTCCGGAATTCACGGCCTCCTTTGTTGGTAGACTGGTGACTACTTTAATCAATAAGGCAAGTGACGAAATCACCTCGTAAAACATGGTTTTTTGGATACATAGTAAGGCAGACCTGTGAAAAAGTTTTTATGCTCTTGACGGCTGGTACACTCCGCTTTTGCACTAATTACAACTTGGCATTTTCGGTGGATGCGCTTAAATCTCCAACTACCAGACATAATCTCCCCTTTTCATCTAGATCGGAAGTAACCTCGGAGACAACCTTGATTTGCTTTTAAGAGGAGTTCTCAGCAAACTTCAACAGGCAGAAACGTTAAGTATAATACAGGTAAGATACTTCAAATGAAATTATTATCAATCAACAAAGTGTTTCTTTATTTACTTTGTTTATCTTTTGGGAGGTAAATTACGGTTCAATGGTACTTGAATTACCCTGATATATCTATATTTTTTAACAGTCACTGGTCCTTTCGTTTCTTCATCTGATGAACAGTCAACTAGAAAGGACTCTGGATTTTCTGAGTGGAGTCCCAGACCCAACTGGCAAGTCAGCACTGGAGTATGTGGTCAAGATATGGTGTGCAAGACAACCGGAGTTCTTTGGCGTATATGACAGTAAAGTGAGGTAACTCGAAGCCCGATTAGAGCCCATGTCGATTGAGTATCGTTTTATAAAATATCAAATCTACTACAACGTCCGATCAGAATTGAGGAAAGCATGCCAAGGAACCAATGAGAAAGAAAATAAATGAGCGCCTGACTGAGTCGTCAGTTTTGCATCTGATTGGTTGAGAGAATGGCGTCAGGTTTTTTGACCAATCACAGAGCCGGAGTGACGAGCACTTATGTTTGTTACCATTTTCGCTTGGGTGCCTTTTTTGTGGGTTTAACTTGCTGTTCACCGTATCATCTTATACGAAACGTACACGAGGCATTGGGATCCATATATGGTTATCAATACCCTTTAAACTCGCCGTTGCCATCAAACCTTACTTGGAAGGGATCGCGAGGGTATGGGGAGGTGAGGGAAATTTTTCGTCCGACGTTTGTAACTTTTTATCGATTCATATTTTTTTTTAGTACTATGGCCCTTTGTAACGTTCTTCAGTTCTTCGTGAACACTGGTGACAAAAGACTCTCCAGTATCATTGTGAAAGGCGAAAGGATTTTTCAGCAAGATGAAGGTACCAATCTGTGTTCGTGCTATAACGAGCTGGTAGCCCTTTAAGAAAGAGGGGAGTAATTGAGATCCAATAATTTCAGTTCCAGTAATTATAGATCCAATTTCATGTGCAAAACTTTCTCAAATTTCTTTGCTAATCTAAATGTTGTCCTTACTTTCAGTCGTATGCCCATTTTTGTCGTTTGTGATTCCCAGTTATAAAGATCCCAGCGGAAAAAAGTATTAATGAGCAAATCATCTTCTTCATTTCCCAATGCATGATGGGTAATTCTCCTTTCATGTTGCTCTACATTTCTTTGTGAATTAGTTCAGGGAATTAATTGTAACATCAATATAATACTATCTGAGGGTTACATTTGCATTTTTTTTTCCAATACCTGATTGATGAATAAGGCAGGAGTCGCACTTGCGCTTTTGGTGTAACACTGGACATAAAATCTGTCATCGCGTGCTTGCGACAAGTGCGACCCTTATGTCGCAACCAGACATAACTATGTCCGAAGGACCTAAAGATCAAAACTGAGCCGATGTCCTGCCTCGAGGCAGGCCATATCTCGTCTTATCGCCTTGAAATAACAATTTTTGTTTTTCTGCTGTCGCAACGTCGATCAAATCTGAAATACTAGCAAAAATTTGGATTTTCGCAATTCTGCAAAGACAACACGTGTGCACAGCTAGCTATCGGTTCAATATTTTAGTCACAGGTTTTCTCGACACGTTTTAACTGGTCCCTATGGCGAATTTCAACCCATACCAATTTAGAAATTTGCACTATTCACCTGATTATTTTCAGTATGGGAATGGCTTGTTTTCACCCTTTGGCTCGCAGATCTTTTCCCATTTTTTCGCATCCGTCGACGTCGGTTTAAAGCGGCAAGAGCCAACATTTGCCGTTGGCGAATGTTGTACAATGCGTACAAATTAATAGGGTTTTGTACATTGAACAAATTAAACAGAGAATGAAGAAATGTCGCTAATAAAACTAGCACCAGCTTCATGTCTACAAAGTTTTATTCGGTGCTCTTTTCGCCTGTGAAATATTCAGAGTTGACAGTCTGGTTTCAAATATCCTTTATGTCGCACAAGTGCGACCTCCATGACTCCCGTGGTGTAAATGTTGCGACATATTTGTAGGACAACTTATGACGCGACATAAAAAAAAAAGGCCACAGTGCGACTCCTGCCTAATTTGTTTAAAATGTAACGAGAGGCCCCATGTTGATGACGCCCAGAAGCTAGGGGTTAAGTATGATGTGTAGCTGTTGCGACAACGGTGTGTCGAAAAGTTTCCTTGCAATTTCTTCTTTTCGCTAGGAATCCGAACAAGATCAAGAGCTGCGAAAGGTGGGTCACTGACATGTCTGTCTCAGTTAATTATACACAATCGTGCACCCTTTTCTCAGAATTTTCCCGAAAACGCTAGGAGTTTTCTTTACCACAACATCTTTATTGAAAGTATTTTTTAAATGTTTGTATTTCCCTCCCAAATCAATTGGATGGGCGCTTAGGCAAATTTTTCCCGCTAAAATATCATTCCTGTGTGCATAGTTGTGTGACACATTTTCGTGGTAACGTGAGTCTGGTGAGTACGCAGTGCTTTTTCCCGCCGCTGTCACCCATGAGTTCGTGGGACCTTGTAACTCTTTAGAGTAATTTTCAAAATTGCTTCTTGTTTCAGCTCCCGAGCAGTGGACGTTAATTCCTGTACCAGTCAAGCTCTTTAAATTAATCATCAATGAGCTGGGTACCTTATTGGAAAGTGCTACGGCGGGTGCCGAGCACGAGCACGGGGACTCAGACGATGTAAGCAAACCGAGGTCCCACCATTGTTTAGTCCCTTGTTGATAACTTGCGCGCATTGATTTGTTGAGAAAAAAGGATGCAAGAGGTCTTGAAAGATTTTGGTTAAAAAATGATACAAATTTCCATGGGTGGCAAAAGTTTTTTTTTTTTTTTTTTTTCTAATTCAGTACATATGCAGAATTAGTTTTAAAGGGTTAGCATCAGGTATATATGTGTTTTTTTCCCTTCTTAATAGCAAAGTAGCAGTTATGACACGGAACATTTACCATATCATCATGCTGACATAATAGTCACGGCCCACTAGTATAGCTCACTGCCATCCTTACATATTTCTGTGTGGGGACCTGGAGACATCTTGTTCGTAATATGCTGGCGAGGCCCTAACAGGCTGCAACTTTTGTTCACGTGGCTGCTTTCCCTTTTTTAGTGACAACTGCCTAGTGTCATAATCATTCTCGCCTTGCTACGCGCTCTGTAGCTTTCATGCAACTGCCATTTACCACATCGCACTGTTCAGAACGCATTTTGATTGAGTATCATAAAGCTGAAGCCAAATTTATCCCAACAGCCATCAGAAGAGAGGAAGTTATCTTGAACCGCATCATATTCTACGCGGGTATTTCTTTTCAATGTCCACTGAACTATAACAGAGCTAGAGGATAAACCTGTTTTCTGATCGATGTTAAGCTGATAGACCTGCTACTCACTTTGGTTCGTTTGTCGCCAGGGAGAGGAGGGTTGGGAGGACGTAACTGATGAGGAAGAAGGAATTGATGCCGCTGGATCACCTTTTGCGCCTGCATCTGATTACTTAGGTACGACCCCTTTTTTTCGTTCCTTCGAATATTAAGAGTTTAAAAAACGTTTTGCGAGCTTAGGCTATCTGTGTAAACAACTCTGAGTAAGACGCCAGCTTATTATTTTATGACCAGGCCCTGCTAGAAGAAATTGATGCTTCATGAAATTAGAGCGAATTGTGAACTTCGCATAAAGTTAAATCGCCGTAATTTTTGTCATCTTTAATTTCCGCGCCAGAAATGAAACGGGAAGTTAATTTTGAAATTCGCGTTGCTTTAACTCGCCTCAATGCTAATTAATTATCTTTAATTTCCGCGCCAGAAATGAAATGGAAAGGTAATTCCGCCCCATTTGTGAGACCTGACCCAATGTTCTGTTAGCATGGCGTGTAATGCACTTAACTGTTTTGTTTAAATAAAAACAGCTGCCCTTGATTGTCTTGATCTTGTTATTGTCCAGGTTTTGATCAAGAAGACTTTGAAGATGAAGATGATGATGATCCAGAGATAAAGAGTGATCCTATTTATACACTTGACTTACAGGTAACTACGGATTATTTTATCCCTCTGTGATTTAACTTCCCGCTGTAAGATTGAAGATTACAGATGACAACTGCGAAAATCGACACTAAGCACCTTTAGAAACAAACCCTTCACTTGTCAAAATATTTATGTAATGGATACTTTTTCCGCGCCAGAAACGAAAACTAATCAGACAGCTGAACGCAATACTTTTTCAACACCTCAGAGGAGAGGCTTTTTCGTAGAAATTGTAGGTAAACAGCCCTAAGAGCTTGAGTAAAAGGGGTGAGTTTCTAAAGAAACTGTGGTGCAGCGTCGGTGGGGGTATTACAAAATAAACTAGCTGAGAATGTAACTTGGCCACCGTGAAGAGTTTTCTAAAGGTGACGTTTTGAGCTTTAAGGCCCGTTTAAACGGTTTCAACATTTGCTTCAACATGCATTCAACACTTTGTGGAACCAAATGCTCAGTGCGTTTGAGCAGGTCATCCAACATTGTTGAAAACGTAAAAAATGTTGAAAGCTTGTTGAAAGCGTGTTGAATCTAGTTTAATCGGTTTAAAATTTCATTCAACATCGATTAAACTTCTACTTTGTAAGGCCTTTGAAAGACCGCATTTTAGCCCTTCGCATGACGTTATCAATTTGTGGTCACTGATTTCTTACATTTGTTTTGATTTGCAACGATTCATCTCGGCTTGATGCTCGGGAACTGTTTCATAACAACTGCCGTCCCTAACCTTTGATTCTTTGAATGTCTTTTTGACATTCAGCTAAGGCTCGGGCTCACTTGGCTAACAAAATTGGTTCAGTTGGCTCTCGGTTGAGTTGGTGCGGCTCAAAGTCTTGTGGTTTACATCTCAATTTCTCTTTTATCCAGAGTCACTTAATCAAGTTTCTTCAGACCTTCGCCCTGCAGCAGTGTTATCCGAGCTATTTACAAGCATTGAATGCCCAAGAACGACACACCTTATCCAAGATCGGAATAGTTTCGTGAAAAGTTCAAAGATGTTCTATGATAAATTCCCCTAATTTATGTTCCTAGTCACAAGAGAAGACAAGAATGGAGAAAAATGCTGCTTTGATGGTTGAATTCCCACCTTTTTATTTGAGATGTGACGCCAAACTTGCACAGAGGCTGTAAAAAACACTTCCTCCGCGACAAAAAGATCAAAGTAAAATAAAAATGTCGACGGATATGCAAATAAACGTTTAAATAGAGGCCGAAAATACGTTAACTTAAGACGTGAGAATAATTTATAGGAGAAAAAACGTGCGTTTTGGGGCAAAAAAAGCCGTATTCGCAGAAAGTAGTACGTGATTTTTATAAAGTATTTGTAGGCTGGAAACTTATCTATATCCCTAGAGATACTAGAAAATTCTACGGAACCTTGCTGATAATTTATGTTTTGTACCTTTGGCGAGAGATTTTTAAAGATGCAAAAACCTTTTTTGTAAAAGACTCATAATGTGGTTGAGGTGAAGTTGCTAGTTCAGCTTTCTCCTTGTTGTTTAATCGGCGTGAAATGATTTACAGATGGAAAATGCTTAATAACAAACTCAAAAAGGACTTCAAATTAAGTGATGTTTTAAAAAAGCTGAATATTTACAGAAGGATCCTTGGAGGCCTTGAGGGTCTCAATTCGTTTTTTACGCCCTTAAGCTAGAATAGGTAGCGGTTTCTTTTATGCGAACTTCTCCGATTGGTTGACAAAAAAAAAAATCATCCCTACCATGAATTCAATGCTGAGGATTAGCAGAAATTAAGTTTTCCACCCGCCTTGCGAGAAATGCTGCATGTAGACTTGTCACTCAACTTTGAGCAAATCGGTGAAATTTTCAGAATTTTCGAGCGAACCATTGTGCTGTTTCTGCCAAAAATCGCCTTACTGCACAGTTGTGATTCGCCAGTAGTAAATGGTATAGTGTAGTTTGTAGATAGGACTTTGCAAATAAAGAAGCTACTTAAACCAACACGCTGAGGGTTTCTTTTTACAGTCGTTACTTCATTCTTGCGGTTTTTCAGACTGTCAACCTTGTTATCTGTAGCTCCTGCCCTCGAGCTCCAGCTCAGACTGTCAACCTAGTTTTCTCCAGCTCTTGCCTTCGAGCTCTAAAAATGCGCGCTATCGAATGGATGCAGGTCACTGACCTTCAGTGAAATACGTTGGACCTGCGTACAGTTTTGCCTTCGTGGCTCCAGATAAACATTCAAGTAATCAGCTCTCCTACTGCTTTAGAGTCCAGAAGACTTGTCAGCTGCGTACGCCTGCAAAGCCTAAAATGTGTGACTCACTCGCTCAAAAACATTTCTAAAAATAACTAAGGATGAACGTTAATTTATAGCACAGACTACAGTGAATATCCGGCGTCACTTAAAAAAAAGGCAGTTTTCAAGCAGACAAGAATCTTTCGACTGCAGTGCAAACGTAACGATGCTCCGCCGGAGTTTTTCCGAGCTACACCTGATGGTTTCCTCAATCCTTGACCGTAGAAATTTAACCGCTGAAAGTAGTGCTTGGCCGTGGTTTGTGGGGCAAATCCTGTTTTTTTTGGTCGGTTTTCTTTTTAAATTTTTTCCAGTAATGCCATGGTTAACGTAAGCTGGAACGTCATTGGTGTCACTCAGGAACCACCCACCCGCGCCAGATAGTCTGGGAAAAAGTTTCGCCACCCCTGTCACTTTCCGAAACACTTCTTCAGTTTCTTTGAGCGTGTTTACCTTATCACCGAGGTACTTCACAAAAAAAATGCCTCAGCAGGACCATTGTTTAAAAGGTAATTTATTTTAGGTATCATTTCCCTTTGACACCGTTATCTACGGTACTGTCTTGAAAACAGTTGTTTTCTTTAACACCTAATTGAGAAAGTGTCAGTTCGAAATCTGAAGTGATTGATGGTATATTAAAGACTCGCTAATCCCAGATTACATCCTTTTTTTCTGCGTTTAATATCATTTGATTGGCATTTTAAGGAGGTGGTACCCTCTGTGAAGTTATCATGAATTGTTTTTTTAAACACTTTTCCTTCTAACTTGACAAGTGTTCAGACCCTCCCACGTAGATTTGGAAGAAACTGTTTCTACATATTATATCGCTGTTAGAATACTTTGGTTAGAGTTTTTCCCCCTTGATTGGCTAATTTGTACCACTCAATGGCTTTCATTACTTGATTCTGACGCGCTTGATTTACGAAATTGACATGTTATCTCTGTAATAACCAATCACATTGCGTTACGTTGAAAGTAGACGCAGTTTTTACCAACGACGGTGCAAATTACGCGGAGTGAAGCTAGTGTATCTTTGGGAGGATCAGAAAATGAACAAAACAGGGAAATCCGTACGTATGAAGTAATTATTAGCGATATTTTTTCTTCCTTTTACTCTGAGTCTTGTGATGCCTTACCTTCTTGTAAATTTTGCGACAAACATCCTGGGACCTGATTAGCGCAACCTCGTGATGGTTGATTCATAGCGGATTAGCACAGGAAATATGTCACTTGAATCGGAAGGGGCAATAAATTCTGTCCCTTGCACTCGTTCACGCCTTTGTCCCCTATGAAAACATTGGAACTAAATAATTGGGAGTAGCTTTCTTTATCTTGGAATTATGAACCCAGAGAAGCTTGTATAGTTTCGTAAAACGTCTGTACCTTTCTCGCCTCGCACTTCTTGGTTGACACTTGATTGAATTGTGCTGAATCTTCGAAAGATGATCTTTTAAAATGATTTTTTCTTCATCTGTCTCTTCTAGGCTTCAAGTGTTCCCGATGGACACGAAATTATCAATCGGGTCTTTATCGGGGGACTGGCTCGCGATGTAAGTTGAGCATATCTATCGAACATGCCCATTATGACTCCCCAGAACTGTTTACAGTTTTACGGTTTCATTGGAAATACTCGTTCTTAACGACTTCGCGTTTATCATTTCAGTGACGGTGTAGTTTTCAGTTTCGATTGCATAATCGTAAGGTACATTTCAAAGTTCATTCTGCTCAGTTCAGTTCTGCATATTATCGTAAAACAGGGTTTAAGCCTAACGTTATTTCCTTCAACGAAAGAACTATTTTTGTTTGTCTTTTTTTTTTTTCGCGGTATTTCTTTGTTCTCTCTGAAGTTGTGTTAAGATTCGCCACCCTGTTACACTCCTCTTCAAGTGGAAACTCTTATCAGACTCGACTTTTTTTTTTTTTTTTAATATGTGCACCGAGGGATTTATCACAACATACATAACATTGAAGTTAAACCCACGGTGATGAATTTAGATGTAATTGATTAGGTATTATGACCAGATAAGGTAAGTAAAGGCGTCGTCGATCGGCGGCTTTGAAGGTACAAATAGATAGTCTTTTGAAAGTCAGATAATCGCAACATGTGGTTGCTGAAACCGATTTGGCACACTTGCGGAAAAAAAAAGAGCTATAACAAGTCTTGCTAATTACGAGTTTAGTTAAAATTTCAAGCTATGACCTTGGCTTAGCCTGACAAACCAGTTTTTTTTTTCCTTTAATTAACAGACAAGCGAATTGGAGCTTGAGAATTTCTTTAGTACGTTTGGAGAAGTGACGGATGTTCGCATTGTCTGCGATCGAAAAACTGGCTGTAATAAAGGGTAAAGTCATTCTAGTGAAAACCTTAATTTTCTTAACAAGAAGTTCCTTTCGCATATTTTTTCTGTTAACTACGAAAATGCACAAGACAGAAGGCGTGTAAAGCGAGAACGATTCCAAAATCTCGGCTCATCGCTCCACCACTGGCGACTCTTTTTGACCAATTAGAGGAGTCGGGTCGTCTGTAAGGCGCGAAAAGGTACATTAGGACATGTGGCAACGACGCCGCCGAAATAACGTCGGAATAAAGAACTTTCTTAAAGTTATTTATCTGAAAATTTCTCCAGTAGCTATAGCCATGTTCAACGTGGCTATCATATGTTAGTGTGTTATCCTCCGTAGATTAGGTGGAGCAACTTCAGAATACCCGTCCACTTCAGTTACATATGTCGGGAGGCTTTGAAGAATGAGGTATAATACAATAGACGCTATTCTTATTCATGCCCAATGACATGTAAATGATGTGGCCGGGTATTCTGAAGTTTAGCCGAACAAGGTTCCATTATAATTTTCTTTCGCTCATAACTATAAAGAAATGTACACTGTCAGATAATGCGCGTGCAATGCCATTGTTGGACTAGTTGTAAATTTCGGCTCCTCCTTCATTGTTTGTTTGCCTTCGTGATCGTAATCCATTCATTTGGGGAGGCATTTCTTTTTTATAGACCAGGCTCAGCAATTTAGTTAAGGTTTGCTGTTTTAAAAACAGACACAGAAGCCCCAAAGTGTGAACCTCATACTGCCTTCACCCGGTGAATTAGATGATGATTAATGCATTTCAGTGTCAAAATTAGTGTCCGTGACTTGTTTATTTGTCTCCAATCTACTGGCTCCGAATTTTTTTTTCTTTGCCTAGTGTTCTCTCATAGGTTTTCAAGTTAATGTTCATCAGCAGGTTTTAAAAATGTATATTTTGTCTTTCACAGTTATGGTTTTGTCACATTCAATACAACAAAAGCTAGAGATGATCTCATTGAAAAGGTACCCACAGTATCCATGTTTTTATTTTGTAAGCAAGATATAATTGTTTTTTATTCTTAATTTTGGTGATCATTAGCAGCCTGCTTTGACAGCATTAAAACTCTGAAGTATAGAGGTACCTGAACATGAATGGTATCTGCTGCTATTAGTTTTCTGGATTGTAAATAATGTTTAGTAATGTAAGTGTCAACTAAGTAAATGTAGCTGATGTTTGGAGAGAGGAATAAAAGATAATACAAAAACATCAAGGAAGTTCAATGATGTTTGAAGCAGGTGACAGTTTCAGAACATTAAGCACTATTTAAAGAAGGGGGAAAAAATAAGCGTTAAAATTTTATCAAAACATCACCAGAATCACCCGCAAAGACCCAGAGTAGACCACACCCAATACAGTTTCTTAAGGTAGTTTTAGAAGTGTTTGCATGGTAATGATTACATAAGATTTTATCAATTTTGTTTCTAGATTTTTCTAAGATATTTTTGGATGATTTTTGACAGAGGAAACAAGAATGGTGTTTATATTTTAAATTTCCCACATCTTTTGTAATTGATCTGAATAGCTTCTGAGTCCCCTCTTTCAGCCCAGTGTTCTACAGTAAATTGACAAAGGCTGCAAAACTAATGGAGATACTGGTTGGTTCCATCAGTAGTGACTGACTACTGACTGTGTCAGTCCAAAGCACATGGTATCATGTTCTTTAGTTATATCAATTTTGTGTATGCTCTTCTAATTTAGGGAACAATTGATTACAAAGGTGGAAGAAAATTGCGCCTTCGAAAAGCAGTGAAAAAAGAGGTGAGGATTCAATACATGAGACTGGTTTAAATATTTAAGAGAAACGATAAGTCAATTTTTGGTTTATAATTCTCTTTCCCCTCAAATGTAAATTTTTAAGATGACAATTGTTTTTCCTCTATCTGAAGAAGTTCAAATTTAAATACCAGAACAAAGTTACAATGTCTCCTTGATTTTTAGACTGTGTAATATAATGGTGTTTAAAATTGTTTAATTTTTTAGACAGGGGGACAGTTCTTTTCCACAGGATCCGGTAATCAAACAGGTTAGTTTGGGTTACTCATGGTGTAGATGCAAATAATTACCTTAATCATGATGGAGGCTTGATGGTCCCAAGTTGTCAATCACTCACTTCATGTGAACACTGACGTCACTTTGAGCAGTTTTATATATATTACATAAGAAATAGTTATTACCTCAAGATAAGCTTGATTTGTTCATTTTTGTTGTTAATGTAATTGTTTCTTCCTTTTTGGTTTTTAGTATAAAATATCTCCCCCGCCCCAGTGTTGAGATGAGACTATGACATAACCAGGAAAAAAAAAGTTTGCTATTCCTTTTAATGACATATTGGTTTACCTTGTTTCCAATTCTAAACACAAAGTGCGATATCAGAATGTTACTGTGCTTAGAAGAAGAAAAGAAGCAATGAATTATGAAAATTTATAAGTGGAAAATAATTTCCCAAGTATGTTAACGTAGCTTCAGTACATTTTTACCAGGGCATTATGTTTCAATTTCTTTTTCAGGGACACAACCACATCAACAACTTGTTCTTGTGCCTTTGGAGCCAAACGTGAACATGAATATGCCTCCCTTGATAAATTGCAATGCGGTAAGTTCAAATTCTGTTGTATGACACACTGCACCAATTATGGAAGCCATGGTTTTCAAACATAATTGCAGTAATAGACTTTTTGGCTGTGTGCACTAGTGCTTATTAATTTAATTCCTTTTATTTTATTACAAACCATAATCATTGTGGGATGATGGACAGAAACTGCATGCACTGTAAGTATACCTCCCAGTGTCCCTTACAAATTCTTGAAAAAGTTTCCTAGGGATTTCTGAGGGACAAAGGGGAGTACTAACAGTGCATGTGGTTTGCCTCTTGTCATAATTACAACCAAGTAACTTTTTACGTTACAGATGATTATCTTACAAAGAATTAAGCCAAATAATATCAATTGAAATGTATTGACTTTCAGCTTCAAATTGGTTCAATGCAGTGATGAATTCAGTGAACTTTAGAATGAAACATTTGTTAATTAAAAACTCAAAGAGGGTCCCAGTTTTTCTGTAAGGCAATACTATACCAAAGACAAGTGAAATTATATTTTTCTTCATGACTTGTGTTAACACCATTCTACAAAGACTTCATATTTTCTTTAGGTAACACCTTTGACACATTCACATTTTATTTATTTCATGAATAGGTTTATAATCATCCAATTCAGCAGCCCATAAACTATGTGGTATGTAGTGTTGAAATACAACTTCAAGTTTTGTTCCCTAAATAATTGCAATTAATATATATACTAAAAATCTTTTCAATATGCAAACCTTCCAGGCCTTTACAATGTAAAATACAATTGTAGGTTTTCTTTTATCTTTTTGGTAGGCACCTCAGTATACTGTACCAACCACAACCCAATATACTGTACCAGCAGTTTATTATTACTGTTACTAAAATGGTAAGTATTAGTATGGCAGTTTGTCTTATGTAGTAGGCCAATTTCAAGTTCTTGTGGTTAAGTGATCTGGTGTCAAAATTATGGTACAAGAATGAGGCTAAGTGTGAAGTCACTCTCATGGATATAAAAATTGTAGGGCTGTGGTAGTGTAAATGAGGAAAATTTCTTGAAATTCAATGTAGGAGGGTGAAAATTTATTTGTGGGAGAGAGTGATGGCGACAAAGGAAAGAAAAAAAAAGCATAACTGTTGGATTTATGCAAGAAAGCATTACTTCACTTAATGCCTTCTCACAAGTAAAATTTCACTCCTACGTAGAATTTTCGAGAAGTTTTCTTTGATTTTCACCACTACTGCACTCTATTCTATAAACCTGTGAGAAGGATTTCGCACCTAGCCTTGTCCTCGTGCCATTGTTTTAGCACCAGATCAATAAACTGCAAGAACTTGAAAGGGGCGTATTGTTTAGGTACATAGTTTTACATCTCTTGGCAATTAAGAGATGTTTTGGGGAAGTGGTGTGTTTTGCTCTAAGAATTAGGAACAAGCAATTTGTTCCCTTTCTTTTTGTAGATGCCTGATAAGGGTTAAATATTAGGTTCAAAAATGGTCTTGTCAGTATTACATAAGCCTCACCTATATGACATCAGGGGAGGAGTATCTCAGCACAGATATCTAGTGGGTTATGGTGGGTAGGGGAAAATGAGACTAGATTCCCTGTAAACTCGCTAAATGAACTATAAAGTGTAAACTCCTTTTCAAATATAGCCACTATTTTGAGTAAAAAACTAAGGGAAGGGAAATAAAAGCTGGCAGGTGAATAAACACAAACAAACCAAAATGTTCTCTGCTCCCACCCTCTCCCCCTTAGCTCAATGTCTGGATCCACCACTGTAAATTGTCCTATATGACGTGTAAGGATCCATTCTGTGAAGCAGTGATGCTCCATGCCTCCATGATGTTTTGTGAAATTTGTTCAGTTTACTACATTTTGCATTTTTAGGTGACAAGTGATCGCTGGCCATTTTAGCTCTACGAGTTACATGAAGGTCCAATGTCAAGACTTATTTTTGTTCAAAATGAACAACGAGTGTATCTGAGTTAAACAGCCTGGTTGAACCAACACTGGAAGCTATTGCATGTGCTGATTTAAATTGATAAAAAAAAATTTATGTTAAAAGATGAATTAGAAATATTCTTCAACTAGCTTTTTATTAATAACTTGATTTTTTAAGTAATGCATTTGTGTCTTAATAACAATTACTTTGGATCTCTGTAAGGTTTTGAAGTGCAACTTTATTTTGTTTCACATTTTTAAAATATAAATCTGTATTCGACAAGGTTAGATTCAAAACTATTTAGATGTTGCTCTTAGTTTTAGTCATTTACATTGAAGTAAAATACAGATACAAATATAATTTCATGCCTAAGATATGGGTTTTTTGTTTTCTTTTCAACCTAAAATTTTTTTCATCCATGTTTATATGGTTTTCCTTTGATAACATTAATTATAATCATTCTAACAACACTTAACTAGAGGAAAAATCTGATATATATATATCTATATATATATATATCCCTCATTTGCAAAGAGGAAATGTTAAGGCATGAAATTTTCTCTAGTAACTAAATCTGGCCATCTGGTTCTTGCCTGGGCTTGATTTCCATTGTTTACTCAAGGGCAGCCTGTAATCCTCTCGAGAAGGAATGGGGAGAAGGGTGAGCTTGTTGCCATCACAACAGCTTGTAATCTAACCTTACATCTTGTCTATTGGGTATTTTTATTTTGGTAGGCTGTATAATTCAGATCAAGGGTGATTTGTAAAATACACCAGTTGTATATACTTATATCTAAAGTGTTGTGTTTTCTACAGATGTATGAAGTTATTCTTGGTCAATTAAAGTGCAAAATTATGATTAAAATGTAGGTGCAAAATTGAATAATTATTGCTTTGATTTCTATGCGAATTTAGTATTGTAACATTGCTTTATACAGTTGATTGTGATTGCTGGCTTAATCATGTTGACTTGTATTTGCATTTTTCATTTGATCTAAGCAATTTTAGGCAAATTTTGAAGATTTGTATTTAGCATTTTTAGTTTTTAGCCTCCCACATAATTTATTGCTTATATAGATTTGTATGTGAATTTGGTATTTTTAATATTGCTTGTTGTTAGCTCTTTAACTCTCAGAAGTGATTAACATGCAACTTCTCCCCATGTTACCATCCATTATTCAGCAAACAGGTAATGAGAATATTTAAAGTTATCAGGGTTAAGTTGCTATCTTGATCTAATGCCAAATTCTCACAACTAATATACAGGTAGATGTATAGATGTTACGAGGGGAGAATTAACAATCATATCGTGGGAGCTAAAGGGTTAATTGTGATATCGCTGCAGGTTATAATTATATGGTTAGATTTGTCTTGGAATTCCAAATCATACTATGTCCAAATCCATAACATTGCTGATTGTTAATTGTGATTGCTGGCTTAATCATGTTGACTTCTATTTGCATTTCTCATTTGATTCAAACAATTTTACTTATATTTTGAAGAATCCTATTGGTATTTTTACATTTTAGCACCCAACATATTACTTTGCTTCTATCTATTTTTATACCCGTTGTATTTCTATAATGTTAACAAAATCTTCATTAAAGGACAATATTTTTATAGTGGTATGTTCTAGAGAATATTTATCTGGTTATTGTGTAATAAGCCTTCTAAGGGGTCAATTGAGACAACAAAGCAGTGCCTCATGGGATTTGGAGGGGAGCCATTCGGCTGTTCCCGAAAAAAGGAAGAAGTGGACTTTTTTCTGTCTACAGAAGTTACTGAGACACCCATAATATCCCTACCTAGTCCAAGGTGTTAAACCCCACCCATCCATCTTGTGTTGCTTTCAGTATCCAATAACCAGCTTGGGTAATTAGGCTATGGTGAATGAGTCTTCCTAAAGGGAACACTACAAAGTGCTAATACTCGACGCCACCGAAGAACGCAACAAGAAGCACTTTAAAGCAGAAAGCTTAAGGTAAGACAAATATTACTTCTGCAACATTAGATTTCATAGCTTTAAAAAATCTCGCTTGAGTTTCCGAGTAAACCCTTGTCAATGGCGTCCCTTGTAACGTAAGACCGCCCGGTAGTTCATGCTCGTTTCGTGTCATGAGCTTGGGGTACCTGTGGTTCATCAGGAAGAGCAATGCATTTACAAACATTTGCACAAGCCCAGTCACGCAAGTCAAAGCGGAATTGGAAAAAGCCAGGCTAACCCTTGAAAGAAGACAGAGATCACCTGTATAAGTGAGGGCAACCATGATTGGATCTTAACCTTGTTTTACGTTAATCTGTAGAGTGTAACTCTGCAGTTTATAAGCTGAGTCGCATTGGTTCTAAATATTCGTGTTTCGGTTTCATACTGTTAGGAATTCTGCCACGTTGCGAAAAATTATGAATGTGCTGTGGGCAATCATCTGGCTTCTTTGTCTCTGGTTTCTCGCTTGGCCTATCGGATTTTTCTGCGCTGGTTGGTACGTGTGCCTTTCGCCATTTGAAGCTTGCATCGATGCCATGAAAGGAATTACAGAGCTTTTGATGCGTGGCGTGAAATTACCACTCGAAGTCGCTCAACACATGGTCGAAGGAAAACAAGGCTGGTAGTTAGAGTTCGATGTCCTATAGTTATTGTACCACAGTGGAGTATTTTATGCAAGAAAGGATGCACTCATGGAATGTTAGAACGATACGATATTTGAATATTTGATGTCTGCTTTCGCTGATATAACTGTGCAGTACGTGCTTTGAAAAAAAAAAAAACGTGAATGATGCTCTCTTGTTTCCTGAAACCAACCAAATTATCTCACTAGTGTTTACTGTAATTAACGTAATCTTTTTCCCAGAAGAGTATTGCAATATTTTGTACCTTCATCCTCATCATACCTACTTTATTGTTGCATTCGTATTTTTCAAAGATAGGCGTAGCGTCTAAATAAAATTAGAATTACAAACAATAGTTTTACAATTAGCATTTTGGTACAAGTTCAACTTCAAGGTGGAAAGTTCGATCGTTAGCACCGAGCTTTGGCTTTTTAATATCTCCTGAGCATTTCCGTGAAATGTTTTATTCGTCTTTTGGAATTTGATCGTAATATTGAATCCCGTGATGGCAGGTTAAAGTCTTTTTCACGAACAAAGCTCACTGCAACAGATTGTTTACTTAATACAGTATCTGAGAAATATGCAAATTTATTATCCAACTACACCTAGACGAGTACAAATATCACGCGCTATTTGTCCTCGTCTGTTGTAGAGTACTGGTTAAACAGGTTTTCTCGCATCGCGCAAGCGAAGAATTGGATTGTAGTTACGAAAAAAAAAAGTGGCGGACAACTTTAATCATATTTCCGACGACGAAGAGTCAGATTGGCTGGCAAATATAGATCCAAGTTTATTCGATGAATCGAACAGAGAAAAACAACTTGACGACCAGAAAATTTCTTCATTTAATGAAGCAACACAACGCGCAAATTCCGTTCCGCTTCGCATACTTCTGTCACGCACTCCTCGTAAATAAGTATCCGCGAAATTCGCCCGCACTGAAATAACAGTTTGGCGTGTTGGATAATAAATAACTTATTAGACGTTTTGTTGTGTAGTATCGCTGAGTATTTTTACTCGTTATTTTTATTTTGACTCGCCCTACGGGCTCGTCAAAATACGGCACAACTCGTAAAAATACTCAGCGGTACCACACAACAAACCGTCTAATAAGATATATATATTCTGATCACTTAGAGGTTTCGTTTATCCCTGCTTTCTAAGTAAAAATTTTAGGACTGAAAAAATCCCCGTACCGATGCTTATTCGACCCTTTTTTAATCGTACAAACGGTAAAGAATTAAATGAGCTAAAATCTTTCTAAACGTTAAGCCAATGTAGTCTTGTTCCTTCGGTGGTCACGTTCCCTTCACGAGGATATGTCACGCAAGCATTATGGAACCAAAACTGCAAGAGATAATCAAAGACAAAGCGGTAAGCAGTGTAAAATTGTCATAGAAGAAAAATTTTCTTAAGTTTTGAAATATTATTGATTGTGGTACACGTATTTCACGATCGATATTAGCTTGGCAAGCTACTTATGGCAGAAGCTTTTTACAATCAGAGGGTCAGAGAGTAATTTGAAAACGTAAGTATACCTGTATTCAAACACGAAAGAGATAACTTTTGAGGTCTCTTGGCTACTTTTAGAGGATCGTTTCTTTCGAAGACCCTCCCAATCCTTCATACTTGCGGGATTTGTCTCGAAACTGAAATTTTATCTTTGTTTTTGGAGGGATACTTCTTTCGAATGTTTGTTGCTTTTCGAAATCTTCTTTTCAGATTCAGACCATTACTTAAGGTGTGGGGGGTGAGAAATTGAGGAAGAAAAAATTCGCGCTGACAATTGAGCGAAAGAAATTTATGAAATAGCAACTGCACGTGAATAAAAATGCGGGGAAGATTCGATAATTAGGATCGAAACATAATGCAAAAACAAACAAACAAACAAAAACGAAGATCCAAAGCGGAAAAAAGAAAAAGAAATACTGCGCAACTTGAAAACTACCCAGCCTCCCATCCCATAACCTTTCTCATGGTCCGTTCCGTGAAGGAAATCGGTGTAGCATATGCGTGGCAGGAGCAGCAAGTAATGTGACTAATCATATGACGAGGCTTTTTTCGAACATCTATTTTAAGCGGTTGAAGAATGACTGTTAACCTTCATTTTTTAAGAAATATTGAGCTTGTACAAGGCAAAAGTGGATATGTATAACTTACTCAAAGTCCGTGACTAAAATGCGGTCAGGCACTCAAGTGGTTAAGTTACTACATAAAAGCTGTCTCCTGCGGTGATGACGGACAGCTCGACTCGTGACTCGCGTATGTCTCAGCTGAGGCGGAAGGCAGGCGCGCATTTAGTTGCCGAGATGCGAAAGACGAAAACCTTCTGAATGTAACCGATTCCATCAATTCTTCGCGGGATGTTTATGTTTTGATTTATCGCTTCACAAACTGAAGAAGGAGAAAAGGATCGAGGTGGGTTTTTCATTAGAAATAATATTATCCCTGATGCAGTTTCTTGTTCTTCATCGCACATATGAAAACGAAGGACATGACAGTCACAAAACAATACAGTCACGGGTTACACAGAGAAAAGAACCATAGCCGAGTTAATGTTCTTCGAAATGATGTTTAGAATGACAAATTGTTTTCACTTGATAATGCAGTCTACTTTAGATAAAGTTGCAAAATTTCCTCACACAGCAATGGACGGGTGGTTAGTCCCAGGGACCCGGTTTTTGGCCGGACAGGCAAAAACGCGGTAGTGGAAAAGCCCTAGGGACGAGGTTGCGTTAGCCCAAAATACAGGAAGAATTTGATACTGACCCATTCCCAGTCGCCTTTAAGGTGGGGATTATCGACGCGGGCAAGATGGGAGCGCGAAGTGTGATGGGTTATCCAACTTGGGGGTGATAGGGTCAAAATCATAACCAAGGGGAAGGGGGTGGTCCAGAGTTCATGTTTTCTTCATCAATGAGAACTGTTAATTAAGTTATCATCATGATAATCAAGAGCCTAAATATGGTTAAACCCCTAGCGAAAGACTCCGCGACTGGAAAATTGTATATATAGACACGTCTTAAATTGCGTCACTGGGCTATCAGTAATGTGAGAAATTATAAGGAAGTACCTGTAATGATAAAAGTAAACGATTCTCTTCCATGCAACAAGGGAACTCTGGATCCTTGATCAGTGGATATCGGTGGATACCACTTGAACCAAAACAAGACAAGTGACTTACAGGGTAGGCTGAGCCGATCTGAAACAGTTGAAAAATTCATCCTTGAATAGTTTGCAATGAGTGGAAAGAAGATTGTTACGGTGATCGCCTGGTTCTTTTTCCTAATCTTGATAGCCTGGCCAATAGGATTCTTTTGCGCTGGTTGGTACGTGTGTTTGTCCCCATTTGAGGCGTGCATCGATGGAATAAAGAGCGTGACAGCGTTACTGATGAAAGGCGTGACTCTACCTTTTGACATCACACATCGTACAATTAAAGGCCAAAGTTATTCGAGGGTTTGATTACTTAGAGAGATGAGATGACAACAGAAAACATAATCTGGGTAAATCGGAGCAATTTTGCAGGATGGTACAAGGTATAAAATTAAATAAAGAAAAAACATTTGTGAAGAAAACCTGTGCTCTGAGCTCTCATAGCTGTTTCACCCCTTTTATTTGCATCTGTAACTTTTAACTAACCTTCGCTAGTGCCAATTCTAGTTGCACTAGTCCTGAGAAGTTTCTTTATCGGAAGAAGTTATTCGAAACCCGTGCTTCACACTGTAATTGGAAACTGGGACTTAGCCACGACTGGACGTTCTTATTTTTTGTTTGTTTGCGAGTTGAGCCTAAAAAACTTTCTTAAGATGTTCTTAAAGTTGAGTGGTCTAGTATTTCAATGAATCAATTCAGACGTCAGTTAACTGTCCTTTCAGACCATAGTTTTACATTTCTTTTTCCTTTACTTGTACTTCTCACAAAAAAAAAAAAAAAACGGGCAAAGTAAAAACGTTCTTAACGGACATTCAGTTTACTGGTATGTTCTAAGAATATATGGTCTAAAAAGTTTTGG